TACCCACATCAATTTTTCATATATTTTATATATTTATATATATTACATATATGTATATATGAAAAATATATCAAAAATGATAGCAGTCACATAGTGGCTGCAAGGTTGCTAGTCATTTATAAATAACCGATTAAAGTTCAACAATTTATGAAAAAGTATATATCTGCGGAGTCGGACAGAAACAATCGTATGGGTTGAGTCTTTACGGGTAGTTTTTCGTAAAAATTATGGATTACTTAGCTACAAGCTCATATACTTTTGCGGCGCGTATAATCTCGAATTTTTTGACAATATTGTACCATGACAACTACCTTAAATAAAAACGGTACCTCACGAATTTTGTGCTTCTTCTCGTATTCAGTGATTGAATGCCTCAGCTCTTTAACTTCGTGGCTTTTAACTTTTATTTCAATATCTTTGGTGGCGAGAATCCACTTCAGATCATTCAATGTCTTCTTAGTCAAGTTTAACTTTTTTTGAATATTGTCAATCCAATCGTGAAACTTGACCAAAATATTCATGATAATCATCTTCAAATATAATTAAAAAATTACTCAAGAAAACAATAATAAATTATTTAAAAAAAAAAACCTTTAATTCATGTTCATGACTTCCAGCTAAATTTGCCAAGGCTGCAGATGCTTCTTGAATATTTTCTATCGCTCCATTTATTAAATCATCAACATCTTGATACCTATTTATCGATAATAACATTAATTATCAAAGAATATTATTAATTATATTGTATTTTTTTAGTTAAATGAAACTACTTATTGAATTGCGCTGCATCAGCTTCGACTTCAGTCTGATCTTCGTCTACTTCAACTCCCGACTGTTCAACATTAACTTCAGCTTTTGATTGTTTATCATTTTTATTATCTTCAATTTGTTTATCATCTTCTTTAACTTTAATTTTATTTTTTCCCGATGAACCAGCTCCATTTTTTCCATCAGTCAAATTATTTTTATTCTTATCATCTTTATCACTTTTAAAATAACTACGATGCGGTAATTTATCCAGTATTTTTTCCCACTTCAAAAAAGTATTTTGAAAAAAAGGGGTTTTATCCATCAGATCAAGTAACTATCTTATTTTATAAATATTAAAATATAGTTAACATTTTGTTTACGTAAATTAAAACAAATGAAATTAATCAAACATTAATATTTCATCAACTCTAATTTTATTTGATAAAAATTTACATAAAATCAATGTAAAAAATTGCTTCTCATTCTAATAGCTTTTTAGTCACCCTGCAGATATTTTTAAACAATTAATTATTTTTGAGTCAATCAATAAAAAAATATAATTTTATTGATTTTGATTAATATTTTTTTTGATAGGATATTTAAAAAAATAATAATGATTGTAATGTGATTTACAAAAGCCTTTGTATTTTTTTTTCTTTAATAATTATTATATATCCTTAAATTAATCTTAACAATTACACAAGATTCAAGCGGCATTTTTAGGTGGTGGCCTAAAAACACCGACAACAACCGCGTGGTCTCTTTCGTATGGTTCAAGAGTGATTTGCTCTTGAGGTTTCAATTTATCGGCGACAAGTTTATTTACTTCTGCTTGAAATACTGCTTCTGGTTGAGCGGTAGAGTCTATACAACTGGCCTAAAATAAATAAAAAGAATTCGATTAATAAATAGAAAATTTAGCAAATAAAAAATTTCTTCTTCAAATATTAAAAATAAATAAAAATATTTACCTTAATAGAAATAACGTAGTGTCCGCCGTTCTTTAAGAAATATTGAGCGTTAAGACTAACTATTCTAGCCTGGTCAGGTTGAGCTACATCAGCAAAAACAGTGTCCACCATACCAACTAACATTCTGTACTTGTGTGGATGTCTGGCATCTTCAATGATGGGGATGATATTTGTTCGTTTTTTAGCGACGTTGATAAGATCTCTGCCAGATCTGTGAGAGAATTCTACTGCGTAAACAAGACCTTCCTGTAAATTAAATAGAGTATATAAATAAAAAGTTTGGAAAATCTAAAAGTGCACGCCTCATAATCTCATTATTCACTATAAAATTGATTAAAATAAAATGAAAATTAATTTAGCAGATATTTGATAATTTTAAGAATTTTTGTAACAAATAAATAATTACAAAAAAAATTAGAAAAAAAAAAATTGACATGTAGAAATTTTAAAAAATTAAAAATGCAATTTCTTTAAAATAATTTTTTAGTTAAATCCACTCTTATAATTTAGATGAAAAATATGAAAATATATCATGTAAGAGCAAACTATTCGTAACGTGATTGGTCAAATATATCATCAGCATGAAAATATAGATACCATACCAACATTCACACGCGCGCTTGCGCGCGCAACGTATACTAGTAATGTCATTAAAATACAAAAAAAAACAGAAAACTCTGCTATGGTTTAGTGGCGCCATAATTTTAAGGTAAAGAAAAAAAATACTATAATAAAATGTATGTATAGATATACAAATACACAATCGTATCTTAGTTTTTTATAAATAATAATTAAACGACAGTTTAATTACTTTAGATGATAAAAAAAAAAAAAGTTATTCCAGCGGGATTATTTTTTCGACCAATTTCCCTGTCACATTTAAACAAAATAATTATTATTGAAATATATTTTATTATGTGCCTGACAGATTATTTGACTTGATACAAGTGCACTCATATTATCCTATAAGTGCAATATAATTAAAAAAAAAAAATCAATATCAGTTTCGAGAAAACTGCTTTTTTTTGACATATCGAGAGTAGAGCACTATCTCAACGCTTCGCTTATGAGGCGTGCAATAATTGTCATCAAACCACTAACTGATCTATAAATTTATAATAGTATTATAAAATACACAAGTGTCGTATGCGCGTATAATCAATTAAATAAATAACTTCAATCAATAAAATAAGCATACTTTTTATCTAGCATAACTTCGACACCAAGCGAGTAAAAATGGGCTCACGTGGCTCTAATGTATGCCTAATTAATAATAATAGTAAAAAAAAAATATGACTCTTACCGGTCCAACAATATCAGCGACGTGAGAAACAGTTGTTCCAGAAGCGGCTCCTAAGTATAAAACTTTGCTTCCAGGTGGCATGTGAATTTGATCAACTCCACCAAGAATCGCAGCGGCCAACTTTGATCTGAATGGATTCCATACTCTGTACTCAATTTTTTCTCCATTTTCACCCTAAAATAATTGAATTTTCAATAAAAATTAATTCAGAAATTATTTGATAATTTTAAGAATTTTTTTACCAAATAAAATATAGCAAAAAAACAATTATAAAAAAAAATTGACTTGTAGAAATTTTAATAAATTAAAAATGCAATTTTTTAAAAATAACTTTTTGGAACAAATTTGCTTGTTAAAAAATTTTCAAGGGACATCTAAATTTAATCAGCTGAATTTTAATTTAGATTAATTTATAGAAAATAAAAAAATTTAATTTAAAAAATAATTACATCAACACTGATTCTTTTTTCGCCATAGACTTCAGATCCAGGTACCAAGTTTAGGGTAACTAGCGCATCTTCCTTGCCTCGAGCGATGAATACACCTTCGTGACGATGAGGCTCGACGACGACTGTCTTTCCGCCTTTGAATCCACCTCCTCCTCCTCCTCTACCTCCGCGACCTCCTCCACGTCCTCCTCTACCTCGTGGTGTTCCTCGTCCACCACCGCCACCAGATCCACCACGACCTCCTCCACCACGTCCGCCAAAACCTCCTCTACCGCCACTTCCTCCACGTGGAGTTCCCCGACCACCGCCGAAGCCTCCACGGCCTCCGCTACCGCCTCCTCGTCCTCTAAAACCGCCACCGCCGCCTCCAGCTGGTGAAAAACCTGAAATTTAATTTTTTATTAATAATAATAATAATAATAATAATAATAACAATAGTAATAATAAATTACAATAATTATTTGAAAAAAAAAAAAAAAAATGTAATTATTGAAAAAATTTTTAAATCACGTGGCTAAATTTTTTTAATAACTCCAAAACAATAACAATATTAATCAAAATATTTACAGTCAATAAATTAATTAAGTAAATAAAAATAAAAAATTTACACTGGTAAAAATTTGAAATTCGATTTAAATAACGACCATGTGGTTTTTATTTAGGTTATCGGCAAGTAGCCGCGTGGAAAAATTAAGTAATTAATGTAAGTAAATAAAAAAATTATAAACATATAAGAAAAAATAATTAATTAAAACTACTTAAATATGAAATACCTGGTTTACCCATTTTATATGTTGATCAACAGCTAAATAATCGCTATAATATACTTGTAACTAGTATAACTTTATCACATGTACGCGGCAACGCGGTAACGAACACAAGACCACAAAAGACTTGCCTCAATGTTCACTTACGGAAGTTAGCTCAACAGCCATCTTTTTTCCGCCCTCTCGGCTTGATAAAATCGATTTCTTTAGTATCGATATATAACTCGAAAGAAAAGTCGATTGTCACTTCCGATATTTAAAAAAAAGTATTGTTTTTGTTATATGATATAAATAAGTACTGTTTATAAATATTATTTTGAAGATATGTAAATAAATTTTTTTTTAAATTAGATTATTTTAAACTTCAAATTTGGTATTAATAAAATAATTTCAATCAATGTTTTTGAAAATTGTTGATTATATTTTAATGTTATTAAAAATAACCTCTAGAATGTATATATAATTTTTATGGAATTTATTGGTTATAAATAAATTTTTTATAATAATTTAAAATCATGGATGAAGATTTTGATGATGTTGTCATCGAGGTAATTTTTTAATTTTTTTATTTCTTTACCTAGTTTGAATTTTTTTTTTTTCTATATACAGGTTATTATTTACACCTTATCATTGTTATTTAATTAATTAATTAATTTAATTTTTATTTTTCAGGGTAGTGATTTACACAAAGCGTTGACTGATGTAGGATTCACTGACTTTGAATCTACTTATGTAGATAGAAAAGATTTTAATAAAACTGAAGAATTTCCATTGATTGTTGAGGTAAATTAATTAATTTTAATTTTTTTATAAACACTTTTTATGACATTAAATTTAGCTGTCACTTAATAATTTTATAATTTTTTTTAACAAATAAAATTGTTCCAAAAAATTATTTTAAAAAATTGCATTTCTAATTTTTTTAAATTTTTACATGTCAATTTTTTTGCTATAATTTTTTTATTAAAAAAATTATCAAAAATCTGCTAAATTAATTTTCATGAACTTTTTCGTTATAAAAAAAATTTTAAACTTTAATTTATAGAAAATTTATTTTTTTTTGTCTCTAGGAAACATCAAAAATTGATTATACATGGAGAAATTTTTTTATGAGCCTAAAACAGCCAAGAAAAAATAGCTATGGAGTACAAGAACTTGAAATTATCCTAAAATTACAGCCGTTATTAGACGATCATACTCTAAGTATTCAAAATATTTTGAAAGATAAATCTCCAAGTAGACTGAGGTAATTGATATAATTCTAAATATAATAATGAACAATATTTTCAATGCTAACTAAAGAAAATTATTAAAAATTTATTTGCAGGTACTCGTTGTGGTCATCAATTATTTTTTCTTCAGCAATCGCAAGTGCTCTAGCCTACCAGCAATTAAGAACTCCTGTGATTGTAACTTGCTCTGTGATATCCAGTAATTTAATATATAGCTATTACTGTAAAAAATCAAGACTTGACATTCTTGAAAATTTGGTGTCGACTCAAAATAATATTTATTTGCAATACAAGAAAATATTAAAAATACTGAAGAATAATTTTTGTATCAAATTGACTAGTAAGAAGTCTCAAAAAAAATTCAGGTAGTTAAAATAATTACTACATATAAATGAATTTAATTGTATGAAAAGTCATAATTAATTTAAATAATATTTTTAGTGATTTGGAAGTACCGAGAATAAAATATCTATTGCCAATGTGTGAAATTTTTACAAGTTCAATAGAAGTAATTTCACATTCATACTACAAAATATCATTGTCTATCATAAAACTACTCTCTAAATCATCGGATACTAAAAATTTATTTAGTAATTTTGATGAAGATACTTTTAATATCAACGGAGAGATAACTTACGAAAGACTCAAGGTAATTTATTTCATTATTTTTAAAGTTTAGAATAATTATATTAAAAATAAAAATTATACCTAATTTAAATTACATTTTTTACAGCAATTTTATTACATGTACATTTTAGTCCAATCAGATATGATGAATCTTTTAGCTCTCCTTCATCAAAATGACTTTAAGAATCATCAATATTTAGCAAATAAAGTAACTAAATTTTTATTAAAATTACTGAAGCCGTACAGTGACAAATTGAATAAAATTATTGAAGAATATAAAGGCAATACTAAACAAGTCTATCGTCAATTAAAGTAAGTATTTTATTAATAATTAATTTTTCATTGTTGAAAATTAAATTTATTATTTTAATCCAGAAAATCAAATGTAACAAAGTGGCAAGATTTGTACATAAATGTAGACTTACTATCCCGGAAAATTCAGTCAGCTTACAACAACATTTCGTTGATTGTTGACGACCTTGATGACTGCGCAGACTGCGAAGAAACTGATGAATTTTTAAAAAGTCTGATGGAAAAAATGAATGACGTTTACAAAGAAATTGACACTGCAAGAAATTTCGCTGAGTTTAATAGATTGCTTATAGGTAAATTTTTGAATAAATCTGTAAAGTCTAAAGACGAGGATAAAGTACCAGAAGTAGCTGAGCTTGAAAGAGTTCCAGTAGTGTTTGATGAAGACCCGGAAATTATTGACGAAGTGTTTGAAGAATATATCAAAGAAGAGTATTTAAAACCACTTTATCAGGATAATGATGCAGATTCGCTTGAGCGTGCTAAGCTGGATAAACTTCTTGCGAAGAATTTTATGAGTGAGTTGAAGGAAGTCTTGATTGATAAATATAAGAGTATGTCTGAGCGTGAAGCTCAAGCGCTTTTGAGGTATAGAAAAACTTTGAGAGATTTTAAAGATGTAGATGAAGATACTGAAAATATTAAAAAAAATGAGAAAATTATTTCACATAATGAAGAAGATAAATTTGTGGAAAAAGTTCATTTTTCATTGCCGCCACCACCCCCTCCATTTCCAATTGAAGGTGATAGTTTAGAAATTAAACGACTTAGTCGTCCTCCAATTCCATTACCGCGCTCAGTTAATTCACCTCCGATGAATGATGTAAGAAATAATAAAATTGATAATTTCGGGTCGATAATTAGTGTTCAGAGTGAAAAATTAATAAATATGAATCGTGGAATAAAATTTCCTGGTTTTATTGACGCTGAAGAGGAGACCTTTGTGGGGAGCGGCGAAAATTCTGACCAAGAACTAATTGATGATGATCAAGAAGACTAATTCATTTTTATGTAATAATTTTTGTAAATTTAAATAAAAAAATAAACACTTATTTATTTTTATTATAATTATACACGTAAAGATGATTAAATGATACATACAATGAATTATAAAAAAGAATTAATAGTTAAAAATTGTATATTAAGGGTTAAAATTATTAAAAAAAAACCAAAGAAATTTTTATATTCCCGGTACCAATATGCTTAAAATTTTTAATAAAAATTACTCTTTAATTGGTAGTTTAAAAATATTGAAACAATGAATTAGAACAATTGAATACTGCAAGTATTATTGCCATGTATATCCATATTATTATACTTCAAATTGGCATAGAATTTTACCCGCATTACTTTACGAGTCACTTGGTAATTTCATTCGATTAAATTTAATATTTTTTAATTATTTCAATTAGTATTAAATTTAAATGTCTTAATTTTTAATTTAAAAATTTTTACATAGATAATAATTTTAGGATATAATGAATAGTGCTAATGTAAAGGTACTAAGATATTATAGTGCGTACTGTCATACTGACGGGCTCTCTACACACCGGGCAAGAAGTCATACTCGGCGCGCACCTAGTGCAAGCCACCATGTGTCCGCAAGGCAGGAACACCACCCCCAATTCATATTTATAGCAAATCTTGCACATAAGATCGTCATTCGCATTCTTTTTGACCAGCTCAACTTCTGCCTCTGGTTCCTTTTCCTCGGACTTTTCTTCTGGTTTCTCAATACTAGCTGTTAGCTTTAATTTTTCAATGTAACTGGGCAAATTCATCAGCATCATCTCCTACAATAAACATAAAAAAAAAATAGTATAATAGTAAATCTATACTAATAAATGGAGAGTCGATTTTTTTGTTCAGTTATATTATGAAAACTATTAAACCAATCGGAATAATACTTAAACCACAAGATGCAGCGTGTTTCAGAGAAGGTTTTTAGTATATGATGTGGTAACTAAATTTATTCTATTCGATTGTCATTTGTTAAAATAAATTTTTTAATTCTATTGGATATGTTGATATACTAGGGAGGTTTCTTCACTTATGAGACCTGCAATTTCTTTAGCTGAAACTTTCAATGCTCATTAAAAATTTTTTTTTCCATATCAATTATTATTAATTTTTGTAAGAAAGACACGGAATGTTATAATGATTGCACATTGAAAGTTACAATGAATATTAGCTAGAATAATTACATGGATAAAAGGTGCATACCAATTTGATAGAATTGGGAATCTGTGCAAGTCAAAACAATACTCTAATTAAATTTCAAGTCTAGATCTAAAACAGCTATTACCTCATGAGAAGGTGGAGCGACAGGCTGACCAATCACGCTTTCGATGAAGTCTTGGCCCTTGACCATCCGGACGTAGTAGCACTTTTTGAACCACTTGGCGTGCTGAAACCATGGATCGTCCTTGGGCTCCCAGTCGTTCAACCCACCGCCACAGTGAAAGCAGATAGTTTGGTCACCAGTCCCGGTGTAATAAAAGCCAGCGTCAGCAAGTTGTTCCTTGGTTTGTGGCATAAATTTGGGCCATAATTCAAAACTTTTTAATCTGGCGTCGTAACTCACGAATTCCGGATGTGCCGGTTTTTTGGACTGAGCGAGGTTTTGACCTCCCAACTTAGCAGTACTGGGAAACTGGAGTTCTGTTTGGCCAGAACGAAAATCTGGTGACGCACCAGGCCGGAATTCATCTTCATAAAGACCATATACGTCACGGCCTCTAGGACCCACTGGTGGAACGGTACTTGGATCAACACCAATCGGCACATTACCACAAGGATATTTTTTTACAAAATGGCAACTAGACTGCCAACGTTGATGATCCGACATCGGGTCGTCGCCCTCTACCCATTCGCGTATTTCGATTCCACATTCGAAGCATTTGACATGATCATTGTAGCCCGTGTAGTAGAATCCAGCGGCTGCAAATTTCGCAGGGTCCATGAAGCTCAGAGGCCAGTCGGTGTAGCTCTGCAGTCTCACAGATTCCAGGCGGTAATCTGCCCGTGGAAACTCGGGATTATCCACTTCGTCGGACGAGATGTTATTATTATTATTATTGTTGGGTAACTGCGACGCTGGCTGAATTGACGGAAGTCGAAAATTTGCCATTGACTTTGAATCATGCAAGTTCTCACCAAGATCATTTCTAAAAAAGTCCGTCATTTTTTATCAAGACAAAAATGATGCTGCAGGTGACAATAATTTATTCCTTGTTCAAATAACTAAATCAGACACTTTGAATTTCAATTTCTGTAATCACAAATTATTTTTCGATTAGTACACCACTGGACAATTGTTTAATTGTATTTTTTTTTTATAATATGATAATTAATTACATTGAAATTGGCAGACACAAATTTTTTATTTATTTTTTAATAAACTAGGCTTAGAAAATTATTAAAAAAAAATTTCATTAAAAATTTTTTAGAGCTTCTATAGATGAAATTTTCTAAATAAATTTTTCTTGCTGTAATTTATTAGTTAAAAAATTATGAAAATTAAGTTAGCCGGCATTTAAAAATTTTAATATTTTTTTTTTTAAATTATTAAAAAAAAATTTCATTCATAAAAAAATTGTAATACCATAAGTGCAATTTTTTAAAAATACTTTTTAGTTCTAATTAAATAAATGAAAAAGAATCAAAAAATTAAAAACTTCAGCTAACTTTAGAATTAGTTAAAAAATTTCTAAAAATTATGAGATGCCTCTCAATTTGAGTATTATGATAATTATTATTCCACTAATCTAATATAACGGCAACTAAAAGTAAATTTCCAATTGAAACAAAGGTTAATCCGACATTAATTTTTTTTGTTATTGGCCAAATTATAATTATTAATTTTAACTAATTAATTAAATAGAAATAAATTAATTGAATACTAATATACTTACTTATAAATGTCAAATATAAACAAAAATATTAGCGATAAAACGTATACAAAACATTTCGACAAAAACAGCTGTAATGCGCGTCATTTCTTAGTCTTCCATCAATCAATCAACTAAAATAAAATTTAGATTGTTGTTCAAGGCAATTCAAATCCACGCGGGCGTAACTGCGTCTTGTTTTTTTTTCTTTTATTTGCGCGTCGAATCTCTCTTAAATCTTAGATCTTGCTTATAACAAAAAAACAGCTGATTATATTAACAATAACACGTACAAATACATAAAATTAATAATAATATTATTAACAATAAATGCTAGTTATTAAAAAAATGTAGAATAATCTAATTTACAGTCAACCTTGTTTCACGTTTAACGACACAGAACAGCTGGCACTCATACACAAAAAGGCCTCAGAAAGCACGTTTGTCCTTTTTCTTCCTCTTCTCTATCGCATAGCCCTCTACATATTTCTCTCCACATGATCTACATGTAAATGCGCCTTTATTTACGTTTACTGTAGCTATATAAATTATAAATAAAATGTTTGGTTTGGATGTTGATATAATAATTGTAATTAAAAATTAACACAAGAGTATATAATAATTTTTTTGTGAAGAAAAAATTTATTTATAACAATTAAAAATGCCTCTTCCTGCTGCTTTAGCTGCTAGATTAGCAAAGCGAGGATTAATATCTAATGGATCTGAAAAAGAAGGTAACCTCTAAATTATTTTATATGACATTAATTAAAATCAAAAGTCTTTTTATTAGTTTTTAAACTTTTATAATAATTAATTCATTGTTAAAGAAATTAAGTAAAAAAATTCCACATTTTTAAATTCAAAACAAATGAAAATTAATTCAGCAGATACTCAAAAATTTTTTAACAAATAATTATGGCAAAAAAAATTTAGAAAAAAAAATTGACATGTAGAAGTTAAAAAAAATAAAAAATGCAATTTTTTAAAAATAATTTTTCAAAACAAATTTGTTTGTTAAAAAAAAATTAAAAAATTATCTAGTGACTGCTAACTTTAATGTCATAAATAAATGAAAATTAATTCAGCAGATACTCAGAAATTTTTTAATAAATAATTATGGCAAAAAAAATTTAGAAAAAAAAAATTGAGGTGTAAAAATTAAAAAAAAAAAATAAAAAATGCAATTTTTTTTTAAATAATTATTCAAAACAAATTTGTTTGTTAAGAAAAATTAAAAAAATTATCTAGTGACTGTTAACTTTAATGTCATTCAAAACAATTATATAAGTGGAAATTTTAAAAATTAATTTTTTTATCACAATCAATTAATGATAAAAATTACTAAAAAAAATTGTCAAATGTCACCTGATTTCAGTCTTAATTATTTTATTTATTTATTAATAATTTTGTGCGTAGAAATATTATTTAAAAAAATTATTTCAGGTGCGACTGTTACTAAAGAACCGAAAAAAAGAGTACACGAAGAAGTTATTGCTGAAGATTATGACAATTTAAAAGATGACATTGAAGAAATTGACTTATCACAAAAATTCATGGTAAAAATTCAGTAAATAAATTTGACTAAATTAATTACTTATTTGCTTTATTATCTTGTGTTAATTTTTTTATTTATTTTGAATTCAGGGATACAGCGGATGCCCCAACAAATATAACATTTATCATGAATGTACAAAAAAATGTAAAGAATTGTGGGGAGTCGGAAAATTGCAACCTGCTGAAAAATATTTAAGATTACAAATGAAGTTAATTCATAAATATCCATTACCTGAAACATGGAAAGCAGTTTATGATCCTGGCGTGTATGTTTTTTAGTGACTATTATCATTACCGTAAAATTTATAACTCTGAATAAATTATTTACATATTTATCTGCAGAGGACAGCATTACTACTGGGACCGGTCTTCGGATTTAGTGTCATGGTATCCTCCAGCACATCCCAAGTGCCAGATATCCCAGCCAGCATCACAATTACGCGAGGAATTACATTTGAAAGCCGCCGACCAGGATGACAACATGTCTAGCGAAGACAGCGGTAGCGAACAAGAAACTATGGATGTAAGTTATAAAAAAAATTTTAATATATCAATTAATATATGGAGAATTTTTGAAAATCTTTAAAGTGTGAAATTTTTATTTCATTTGTTTCTCTCCAAATTATAAATTATTTAATTAAATAAAAATAAAAATATGATACTGAAATTGAGCGACATCTGATAAATTTTATAATTTTTTTTAACTAGTAAATTATAGCAAGAAAAATTTATTTTAAAAAAATTCCATCTTTAGAAGCTCTATATACAAAATTATGAATGTCATTTTTTAAAATAATTTCTTAAAGCTAGTTTATTTTTTAATAAAAATTTTAAAAATTGTCAAATGTCTGGTATAATTTATATTACTCAATAGTTTCATTATTATAAAATAGATAATTTATTATTTAATTAATTTAATAAATAAATTTATGAATCACTATTAAGATTTTGATCTATTTTGATGTTTTTTTCCAATTCTATTGCACTAAATCAATTTTTGAAAATTATCAAATTAATCTCCATTAAATTATTTTGACAATAGTATGCAAAATATTTTGATTCCGTAAACTAACAAGACTATAATAATAAAAATAGTTGCTGAAAAGAGGCGAAAAAAATTTTTCGATCGAGTCGATACCTTTCCCCACCCTGGCTAGCGCTCGTACTTCCTTAAGGCAATCAATGTTATAATTTATTTATTATTAGTACAATAATTCAATTGACTACAGGTTGATGAGCCACGGTCAAAAAAAGACCATAGACCGTCAACTAGAGATCGGTATCGATCGCGTTCTCACGACAGACGAGGACCAAAAGACAAAAGAGAGCGACCATTAGATCCAATGGATCCAGCTTCTTACAGTGATATTCCAAGGTAATTTATTGTATAGATAATATATAATTAAATATTTAAAGTGATAAATTTTAATTTATTTATCAGAGGAAAATGGTCGGACGGACTTGCTCGTTATAACGAAGCAAAAACTGGAGCTGATACGACTGCATCAGGACCCTTATACCAGATGAGACCCTACCCAAGTCCTGGGGCAGTTCTGAGATCTAATAAACCACCGAAGCCAGAAATTGAAACAGCCAACAAGCCCAAAGTTTCTTTTCCTGAAGCTCCAGAATAATTACTTTTATTTTATTCATTAATTCAATGTTTTAATTATTAATTTAAATTAATTAAAAAAGAAAGAGATACATTAATTGAATTTATAAATTTAATATTTTTAAATTCAAAATACCATTAATTCTCATACAATAAATATTTATTCTGTAGTGAATTTTAATGTAATAAAAATTTTTTTTATCATACATTTACCCTTTGTGCTGGTATAAGTGAGGGGAAATTCAAAGAACTGAAAAATGCAATAAACCCGATTTCCAAAAAATATGACTTATGGGGTTTCTCAAATAAATGATTCATTTGACCTTTAAATTTTTAATATAACTTGCATAATATTGTTGTGATAATATTTTTTATAAAAAATCAATATGTCAAATTTTGTGGAATACGACTAGTGATGCGAAATGACGATCATTTTCAACTTTGTTCAAATCACAAGCAATTGACGAGCATTTGCTCGTCAACTGACGTCATTTTTTTTGGGTCAGTCAAAAATTTATGAGCATTTTTTTTTCTTTTTACTAAAATTCCTCTCAAAAAAAAAATCAAACCAATCTATTTGATATGCAACCTCAATATTTTAAATATTTAAAACGAAATTTGTCTAAAAATTCTAACGGTAATAAACAAATTTGGCTTGCTCAACTACTTAGATGGAAAATGACCGTCAAAAATTTTTCGGTCATTTTTTGGTCTGAAAAAAAATTAAAATTTTTTTAATTTAACTTTTAAATTAAATCGCCATTTAATTTGAAAAATGACCGGCGGTCATTTTTTTTAGTTGGTCAATTGATGAGTAATTGACGAGCACATGCTTTGCTTCACATCACAAGAATGGCAGTATGGATATGTATCATTGGGCATATGTGATAATAAAACTTGAATAATGGTAATATGTATCATCGGGATATTCGAAAACGACACCTACCCCCCCCCCCTTCCGCCGCCAAAGATAAGCCTTTCTGTGATCTCTCAGCCAATAGACATCTTTGTTGCGCGTACTGGATGCGCAATAGAAAAAAAAAAGTTTTAACATATATTTGAAATTAAATGAAAAAATTATTACAAAAGAATTTCGTTAGTAAAAAATTCGAAAATCTATAAGTGCAATTAAAAAGAAAAAAAAAATATTTTTTAGTTCAAATTTAATTAATGAAACAAAATCAAAAAATCAAAAACGCCGGCTAACTTTAGTATTATCAGAGTCGACTGTAAGAAAATTTTTCAAAGCAACCAAAAACTTGCAGAAGTGTTAAAACGAATGCGATGGTAAAATTTCATCAAATAGATGGAAAAATAGATAACTTTTGGTCTATAAAAATAATAAGATAATCCAAATTAAAGTTTATTTAATAAACTTTCAGGAAGATTGTTTTAGAAATTCGATCAATCATCGCGTTAGATAGAATAGTTAAATTTCCATAGAATGTACTTATAAAAAATATATAGAACGTATATAGTTTTCATTAAAACGTATTCTTTTTCTGAGCATCATGCGTGAAGAGTTGCAAATATTTTATTACTTGCTATATAGCAGATAAATTGATTATTTACATCGCGCTCTGTATTCTATTCTGTTGCAAATTTTATAAATGAAAAGCTTGAAAATGAAAATTGATGAATTTTTGCATTGTTTATTTTTTTTTTTGTTAAAACTAAAAACATTTCTTCCCAAAATATTTTTTTAATACCAAGGAAAGACCCCGTTATTGACACACACCTTGCAATATTTATGATCACAATATTAATAAATAATTATTAAAATTTTCATGATAGTACTAATAGAATTTTTAAAATGATAAATTTTTTTTTAACACCAAAAGATTTGACAAAGCTCTCCAACTTAGAGCCGTATTGTAGCCTGTAAAAGTAAAATAACATATGCATCAATCATAGTAAACTCCAAATAAATAGACATACTAATGTCTTCCAGCTATAGTACATTAAATAATGTAATTACTTTGTTAAAAATCAAGTTTTAAAATATATTATATATTATAATAAGGTAAATAAATAAAAAAATATAAATTATATTTTTGAGCTCAAAGGGCTCAAAAACATCATAAGCGCAATTTTAAGCGCTTAGATATGGAATTAGCGGGAAATTGGAGGGATGGTCTTTAGGGTCAACCGTTTTCCAGATTTTTTTAATTTATAATAAAATTGCAAGTGCCAATCAACTAGGCCAGTGTAAAAAACTGGGTCTTTTACCTTATTTCTCTAACGACTTGTAATTTATAAACAATTTGATTGCGGCATTTATAGATATTTATAAATTTCTATATTATAAAATTTCCTATCCAAAAAGTGATTTTTGAACCTCTATCCAGTTGGAGCCCAAGAATTGGCTAATTTTCTGTCGGCTAATATTAAAAACGGGCTAATTCTTAAAGAAATTGTGCGAGGTGTAAACCTTCTGCTGCTGTTAAAAATTCATAAGATGTATTGATTTAAAACATAATGCATAAAAAACAAACGTGTAAGTAGTGTGTAAAAGGTACGCATAATTAAATCTTAGCAGATCTAAATATACCGGGCATCAGATCAATTTTTTATGTACAAGGCTGCTATAGATTTCAATTTCAAACACTCCAGTTGTTTGCAGAATTATTCTAATACTCAGTAAGAAACAAACAGTACTGCTGAAGACATTACAACTGAACAAAAAAAAAGTGCATATAAATTAATGTATTAGTTAGTTCGTTGATTTAACAATGAATAAACAGTTCTTAAATAAATCTGGAGATTTCGAGCTGACTCCGATACTAAACCACCGAGTAACTTTAGATATTTCAATAATCATATTCAAGTACTTGAATTCATTGAAATATAATTTAGGAATTAATATAAATAATTGTAATAATAATAATAATAATAATAATAATTATGTTGTGATAAATATTTACAGAGTTCTTGGTTATTTTTCTTACGATCGGCCATTTTTTCGTCTTCGTATTTTTAATTTCGTCTGTCTAATCGTCAATTGGGGCATCGGGATGGTATATTGTTTTTCAAACGCTGCTGATATTGTTGTTTATTACAATAATCTTGAATATGTTTCCAATAACTTGGGATATCTTGCTCCAATGATCACAACTTATGCGAAAACATTCACATTATGGATCTCGCAAGATAAAATAAAACGCCTAATAAAAAAGGTCCACTCACCGATAGAATTTCTAAAATTCTCATCAGGTAAGAATTTTTTTTATTATTATTATTATTATTATTATTATATCTCTAAAATATTTATTTTATTCATACTACACTGGAGAAAAAAATTTGTTTTAAAAAACTGCACAGTTAAAAATATTATGTAAAATCAACACAATTTCTGTGTTAAATACCGTCAACACAAAATTAGTGTTAAATTGTTGTTTCAACACAAAGCTTGTGTCATTTTAACACAAATGTGTTGAATTTTAACACTAATTTTGTGTTGACGGTATTTAACACAATATTTTTTACTGTGTGAGCATTATGACGAGATATTAATTCTTTAAAAATTTATTTCTTAATAAAATAAATAAAAAATTTTCTCGCGGTAACTTTCTTGTTAGAAAAAAAGTTTTTTTTTTTTTAATTAGAAAGAAAAACAATTTTAGATAGACAACTTGTGAATTTTCACCCTAAATTTAGAAAATTTTTTTTTTCAACAAAGAATTTTTTATTTCTTCAGTTAAGAAATAAAATTATTTAAAATTTTAAACAAATAAATTTTTTATTGCAATATTGCTCATTTTTTTTTTTTTGATAGGAATTATTTTTTCTCAGTGTACAACTATTAATTTATATTAAAATGAAATTAATATTATACATTATATAAATTAAATATATAATATCTAGATTTGGGTGTGTTAACACATGTACGTACGGCTATTTTTTACCAAAATTTTGATTATGTTCTATTCAATGGTGTAACAATCAGCGTGACCTACGTAACATTTTTCGCAATACCAAGAGAAGAAGATGAATTGCCACTACGCGGGATATTTCCATTTGATGTCAGTGAATTTCCATTACACCAGTTAGCATATTTCATTCAAATTTATACAATATTTGTCGGCTGCATTTGGGCTCTTGTTTTCGATACAACTGTTCTTGGATTAACGAGATGGATATACGTTCAATTAATGATCTTAAAATATAATTGTCGTCATTGTAGCATTGAAACATATGATCGTGCTAATTTTACAGTTTCTCCTGAAGCATATAACCACATTTTAAATTACAATTGGTTTACCTTAGACAAGGAAAAGGAATACGTAATTACCACATTCGTCCCTTTTTCAAGAGAAGAAGCTTACGTTAAAAACGATTCCTTTGAGTTAAGATTAAAGACATGCCTGAAACATTATCGACGTCTTATTTTAAATGTTGACGAGTTAAATGACACATTTAGTGCTGTATTGTTTGGAATGATAGCTGCTACCTTCTGTCTAGTTTGTCTCAATCTCTTTTTAGCTGTTTTGGTAATTTATACTTACACGGAAAAAAGTAAACTGTAATAAATAACAGTCGATTTATAATAATAAATAATAAGTAATGATCAACTGCTAAAAATTACCATTTCAAACAGTAAAATTGTGATTTTACTGTTCACATTGTAATATTTACAATTTAAACGTTACAATTTACTCTTTACATGGAAGAAAATACTATTTCAAACAGTAATATTCGCTATATAAATCTCTAAAATGTTAAAGTATAATAATTAACAATTTAGACTTTAATATTTATCATTTCGTACCTATATAAAAAATGATGTTATGGTATGTAAAAAGTATAAAATAAAGTTAGTAAATTTCTAATACAAGCAACGTCAATATTTACAAAGTAAAATGGTAAATTTTAAACGCAACGCTAAAAATCAAACTGTAATTATTGACTTGCTTAGACTGGTAAAATGTATATTTTAAAAGTATAATTTTTACTGTTTGATTGAAATGTTAAATTCTCCCAGAGTGAGACCCCCTTCTCTTTCATCTGAGTTCCCCTTCTCTTCATAATATGGACTATATATTAAAATGGCAATTTTTACTGTTTGATTGAAACTGTAATTTTTTAAGATGAAAGAGTCGTTATTTATTATAGTGACAGCTACTAATTACTTATTTTGGATATTAAATTATAAATTGTGGCTATTATACTTTCTACATTAAGTTCTGTAATATTTACATTTTTGCCACCCCGATGTCCGCTTTACTGTTTGAAACTATAAAAACTAACCAGAATCCGAGTGTATATTACAGTTTACTTTTTTCCGTGTAATATTCAATAAATAAATATGAAAATTTCATGTTACATTAGTCTATAAGAAAAATACATGTACAATGTTAATAAATACCTTATAATTTTTCTTTTAAAAATAGTTTATGAACGATACAATTAAGTTTTTCCGGTACTTGGTCATGATGGGTACTGGTTTACTTCATCTTCTATTTTGGTGTCTCTTCAGTAACGAATTAATGAAACAAGTATGTATATATTTCATATATTTTATTACTGTATTAACGAGTTAGGATGACTAAAAAAAGAAAAAGAATAATGAAATTAATTTTCTTTCCAGGGAGAGTCTATGTACAAAAGTATATATGACTCTAAATGGGAAAACCATTTAAATAATGGTGAAATCAAAATAAATATCCTAAATGCTTTACTCATGGCACTCAAACCATTAAGACTTTCAGCTGGAACGTTTTTCATTTTTTCAATGGAAACTTGGCTATCGGTAAATTTAATATTTTCCGCCGTTTTAACAATAAAACTAAACTTGACTTTTACTAATCGATTTTATTTTTTTTTTTTTTTTTTAAGGTCGTACAAAAGTCATATTCATTCTTTGCAATCCTGAATACTGTAATTGACAAAGAAGAATACGATCTATCAGATGATTAATTGATTTTTTCCCGTGTTTATACATGAAATGATATTAATATTTGAGAAAAGTTTTTTAATCGATGATTTTATTTCACCTTTTGATTTTGCAAAACTAAAAGCACGTATAAAAAAAATTATTTTTTCTCCAATCGACTGAAAAAAGGAAAAATTTACTGAAACAATGAAAAATATAATTTTGTTTGATATAAGTTCTTTTGGATTTATGAAACCAGTAGGGGGCGTATGCAAAAATAAAAATTTATTTTTATTATTTATTTATTTTCTAATTTTCTGATTGGAAATTAAACATTTTGAACTTCTGGTTACGAAAATTTAAAGTCTTTGGCAAATCATTGATCTCGGGTAGATTTTAAAAATCAAGCTTTTCAAAAATTCCAATTTTATAGCCAGAAGTACAAAAAAAAATTTTTTCCTTAAAACCAAAAGGTTGTATATAAAAAAAAAAAATTTTATTTTGCATTATTTCAGTACACAGAAACAATTTAATGTTAATAATTATTGTCATTATTTTATAATAGTTACTATTTTGGAATGTTGTTGAATATTGACAAAAGTTTTATTATGACAACTATTATAATCACATCTTACAATATTTATGATCACAATATTAATATATAATTAATAAAATTTTCACGATATAGTAATAATATAATTTTCGGAATTAAAAATTTTTTTTAATACCAAAAGTTCACAAAGCTCTTCAATTTATAGTTATACTGTAGCCTGTAAAAGTAAAATAAAATTTTTTCTTAATTCATCACAACTATTTTTGTTAATGTACTTGATATTATAATTATTAACTATAGAGAAGGGCAAAAGGAACAATGAAATTAAAGTTACCAAATAAATCTTTTCTGAAAAATTATTTTTAAAAAATTGCATTTATAATTTTTTAAAATTTCAATTTTTGACGTGATAACGTCTTATAAATTGATGAACACCGACAGCGCTCACGAAAAAATGTCGCGTTCCGACAGACCGTTCCGCTTTTGTGTTCCTCCTGAGCGTTCCGCCTGAGCCTGTGAGTGCAAGCGAGAGCGCGCAACAAGCGATAGAGAGGCCCAAGCATTGCCTTATGACATATATATCTCTCTTTTCGCGTAACGTCAGAGCTAGCAGTCAGAATATTGTTCTATAACTAATTGTTCGTGATTATATTTAAACAAATTATATCAGATTATTATTGTTGATAATATTAACAATTGTTAATAAAGAATATCAATTATAAATAAATTAATTAATAAGAATTGTAAACGATAAATTAATAAAATAATTAATATTAATTATAAATAATAATAATCATATATCAATTATCAAATTATTGTATCAATTTTAGATTATTTCTCATTTTTTTTGCCATAATTTATTTGTTAAAAAAATTATTAAATATCTGCTAAATTCAATGACAATGAAGTTAACAGATTTAAAAAATATTCTTAGAATTTTATGGCAATTAAATTTATTCTAAAAAAAATTTAGTTATAAAATTTCACATGTGAAAATTAATGAAAATTACTATAGTGAAAATTTTTAGAAGCACTTTTTTATTGTAATTGATTTATTCAGTATTATTAAATTAATTCTCATAAGGGAATATCTGATAAAAATGGGGGATTAGACAATTAAGTTAAAATTTAATGAAAATTAATTTAGCAGATATTTTATAATTTCACGAATATTTTTAACAAATAAATTTAGTCAAAGAAAATGAGAAAAAAATTAACATTTTAGAAAATAAAAAATCCTATTTTTTAGAAATAATTTTTTGCAGCAAATTTATTTATTAAAATAAATTAAAAAATAGTGTCAAGTGACTGCTAACTTTAATGTAATTGAAAATTAATTTAGCATATATATATTTAATAACTTTCAAAAATTTTATAGCAAATAAATTATGGCAAAAAACAATTAGAAAAAAAAAATTGACATTTAGAAATTTAAAAAAATAAAAAATGCAATTTTTTAAAAATAATTTTTTGAAATAAATTTTTTTGATAAATAAAATTAAAAAATTGTTAAGTGACTGCTAACATTAATGTCATTAATTTAAAATTTAATATAAATACATTTATTGTATTGGCTCAACGGCTGACTGCTGCTGCTGCTGCTTCTCCTGACTTTGCTTTTGCTGCAGTGACCGGCTGATTCCGTATGGGCTCGTATTGCACGAGTAACTGAGTAACTCAACGTCTACAAGCTGCATAACTTGTAAGTAGTTATATACATACAGTAAATACATAAGTATATACATACATTTATACATAAGTATATACAGTAGTATTAGTAACCAAAAACGCACATCTGTGATGAGTGATTAGTGCTCTGAAAATAATAAAGTATATTAAATTAAATAACTCCCAACCTCTTCTGTCGTAGGCTTAGCAAATCTAACCTCAACAAAGCATGGAGAAATGATGATAAAATAATGAAACAGTAACGAGCTGTGGAGAAAAAAGCAAAGCCAAAAGTGCTAAGGGCTCACGAGGTTTTCCATGTCAACGACACGCGTTATTCTTCCAAGGCCAACGTGCTACGTCCTGTGTAAAACCAATTATTTTTTTAAGTACTCATATTCGTTTTATCAACAGAAGTGTAAACAATCTGATCGTCTTATTCCAGATAATTTATCGAAACAATTATTTTGTAAAACTGTCAAAAGTAAGAGTGGTAGAGGTTACAGCTACAATCAACAACTGGCTGTTTTGAAAGGTAATAGTCAGCAAGCTGAAAGTTTACCTCTAAGACGAGGAGATAAAGTTGTCATTAAATCTACAAGTCTGAGTCCCAGTCCAAGGCACACTTTGGACTGAGATGAGCGACCATGGCTGTATACACTTGAATAATTTTAAAGCTGCTAAAGGAATACAACCTTACAAAGTTATACACTCGTATTTTGTAACCAGTACCTCAGCAGAGGCACGCATCAGAAAGGTACTATTATTATTATTATTATTATTATTATTATTATATTTTTACTAGCAACCTTGCAGTCACTATGTGATTGCCGTGATTTGTGAGCTATAAATAAATAAAATTTTGTTTTATTAAATAATGACTTTTGTTAAATTTCACTGTACTTTCTTAACTATTGACGTTTTTAAAGATATAAGCTCATCCCGGTGTTCAACTCATCGAGAGCTTTCATTTGAGTACCCACATGCATTTTTGATATATTTTTCATATATACATATATATAATATATATAAATATATGAAAAATTGATGTAGGTACTCAAATGAAAGGTCTTGATGAGTGTAATATTCGAGTGAGCTTATATCTTTAAAAATGTCAATAGTTCACAAGATAGCTAAGTCAGTTCTTAATTATTGACATTTTTTAATATATAAACTCATTTCGATGTTACACTCATCGAGACCTTTCATTTGAGTACCCCCATGGCATTTTTCATATATTTTTTATATATGGTATTTGTGAAATATATAAATATATAAAATATATGAAAAATTGATGTAGGTACTCAAATGAAAAGTCCCGATGAGTGTAATATCGGGGTGAGTTTATATCTTTAAAAATGTCAATAGTTCACGAGATCCAGGGTCATTTCTTAATTATGTACCTGGAGATAGAGCATTTTTGAATACAGCTTAAATACTTATCATCATAAATTGACTATCGGTGAGAATGATATAAAATCTTAAAAAGGCATAAATTTAAATCAAGACCTTTGCAATAACTATCCTGGACACAAAATTTTTCTTATTCTCTTAATAATATAGATTATTGAATTTTTATTACAAGCATTGGTGGTCAAAGTGTTTAAACATCTTATGATAGTAATAAAATTATCTTTTATAACAAAATAATTTTTTTCATTTTTTTTTTTTTCTTACTTTTTCGAGCGACTTATGATTTTATCATTTTTTACTTTGATATAATTTCGTATTAAAAATATTCATAAAAAAAATTAAATTATATGTCTTAGATATATATTTGTAAGTAAATATATAGCTAATTATTAATAATAATTATATTTGCAATAATTACGATAATTATAATTACAGGCTGTGAGCTGTTTGTGTCACACTTGTAAATCATACAAGGATCGCCTACACTCTTGTTTACATTGTATATTTTTTGGTTGTTATGTCAAAGGACACATACAGGAACATGCCAAAACAAAAAAACATTTTTTAGGTATGGTAACTTTTTTTTTTTTTTAATATTTTTAAAATTAGGGAATGAATCTAAATTGTAATTTAATAATAATAATAAATTACAGCTGTTGATTTGTGTTACGGAAATATATTGTGCTTCCAATGCGGCGATTACGTATATGATCGTGAACTGCTGACTGTCGCTAAAGCACAATGGAGCGAGTCAGCAAAATCATTGTCTTTAGGAGAATTTTATCGCGCTTGGGAACCAACGCAAGTAGAGGCCGATTTATTGAGAAAACATCCAAGACGCCGACGAGTTGTAGAAAATTCAACAATCGGTTATTATTTTTTTTTTTTTTTAATTAATATTTTGATGCAGCAAAATTAAAGAAACTTTATTTTTTAAACTAACTAATTTTTTTACAGGCTTGAGAGGCTTGATAAATTTAGGAAGTACATGTTTCATGAACTGCATAGTCCAAGCACTGACTCACACTCCATTGCTACGCGATTATTTTCTGGCGGACCGTCATCATTGCCCGCAGCCCAGTCGTTGTCTAGTTTGTGAAGTATCACACTTGTTTCAGGAATTTTACTCCGGTAGCAAGGCGCCTTTGACGCTCCACAAGCTCCTACATTTGATATGGACCCACGCGAGGCATCTAGCGGGTTACGAACAACAAGACGCTCATGAATTTTTTATAGCGACTCTAGATGTCTTGCATCGACACTGCGAAGCTGCTCCAATTCTTGTAAAAGACAACCCTCATCACTGTAACTGTATTATTGATCAAATATTTACCGGTGGATTGCAAAGCGACGTTGTTTGTCAGTCTTGCAAGTAAGTTAGGGGCCATTCATTAATTACGTAAGGGTATTGAGGGGGAGGGGAGGGGGGTTAAGAAAATCTCTACAAGTTCTTACGTTGGGGGGAGGGGAGGTAAAATTCATTCTTACGTAATATTTCGTGAATCAAAATTCAAGATTAAAAATCTTTCCATTTCAGATTCCAAATTGTTTTCTTAATTTTAAAGTGTACAGTGGAATTTTTATTTTATTTAAATAATTTTGTTGCTTATTGAAAAAAGTAAAAAATAACTTATTAAAATTTTATATGTTTTTATTGTTATCCATGTTTGGTTCTATAGAAAAAATTATAGTACATTTTTCCGCGTATTATCATTTTTTTATTATTATTTAAAAAATAAAAAAACATTTTCATCTACCATTACATCTGATGAGCTACCAATCGTCTCTGATTGGATGACATGGATTAAAAGTCCGTTTAGTCCGGATGAAGATTAATAATTTTAATTCATCTAGCTTTAACTATTTAATTTATGTTTTTGAGACTAATTTAAAACTAGTCAAATATTATTTTATGAACAATGTTATGAGTTTGTAGTTTTACTGATTTATCTTTGCTAATATTATTTAAATTATTCCTTCTTAAAAAATAAAAATTATGGATCCACATTGAACTGTAAGTTTTAGTGAAACTGATCCTTTTCTAACATAAAAGTTTATTATTTAGAAGATCAAGATAGAATCTTACGTAAGAAAGGGGGGTCAAAATTGACCAAAATTGTCCTTAAGTAATTAATGAATGGCCCCTTATCATTAAAAGATTTATTTTAATTGGACTACTGAAAATTTATTAATTGCACGCCTCATAAGTAAAGCGTTGAGATAGCGCTCTACTCTCTACATGCATAACTAACAAATTTGTTTTAAAGAAATTGCATTTTTAATTTTTTAAAATTTCTACATGTCAATTTTTTTTAAATAATTTATTTGTTAGAAAAATTCTTAAAATTATCAAATATCTGCTAAATTAATTTTCATTTTATATTAATCAATTTTATTTTTTCAGTGGAGTCTCTACGACCATCGATCCGTTCTGGGATATATCTTTAGACCTAGGTCCAACAGCCGGTGCTTCTGGTGCAGACTCAAATGGACCACCTACATCCTTACTAGACTGCTTGGAGCGTTTTACCCGTGCAGAACACTTGGGCTCTAGTGCCAAAATAAAATGTAGCAAGTGTCAGACTTATCAGGAGAGTACTAAGCAACTAACTATGAAGCAACTGCCAATCGTTGCGAGTTTTCACCTCAAACGTTTTGAACACTCCAGTATTCAGGACAAAAAAATCTCAACCTTCATTTCATTTCCTGAACAACTAGATATGACACCTTTTATGTCTCACCGGCGTAATGGCAACAACAACAGTGCAGCTATCGAAAGGCTACAGAAAAATGGCGAGGACACTGCATTCAGTGATAATAGATATTCTTTGTTTGCGGTTATTAATCATGAAGGATCTTTAGAAACTGGTCATTACACAGCTTTCATTAGACAGCAACGTGATCAGTGGTTCAAGTGTGATGATCATTTGATCACTAGAGCCAGGCTTAAAGATGTTTTAACCAGTGAAGGGTATGTATTTTTTTTTATTCACATTTATTATGACAATATTAATGATATTATTATTATTAAGATTTTCAGGTAATTTTCAATTTATTTTTTAGTAATAATGAAAAATTGTTTTTTATTAAACTGAAGAGCCAGCAATTACCTTAAAATTAAAAAACTAGTCTTTAGAAGAAAAAAATTCAATATTAAAAAATATTAAATTATTATTATTATTATTAATATTAATATTATTATTGTGTTTCAGGTACTTATTGTTTTATCACAAACAAATTCTTGAGTACAGTCGTAGAAGTAAAGTATGAAGAATTGACCACTGTATAATTAATTTATTTATTTTGTCTATACTACCGATGATAATAATTATTTTTTGTTTATTTTGTTTTAATTTTGAATAGTTGAATTAATTGATCGCGATGATAGCTTATTCGCTGTACTGATTTACTGCCGATTATTAAGATGAATTAATTTTTTTAACGCTTACAACTTATGAAGAGTGTTTGTAATAATCATGTAAATTTAACAAAAAAAAAAACCTCGAAGGAAAAATAACGCGCATACAATAATGAATATAAATATTTAAAATAAAAGTCACGTTATATTTATACAAATATATATATATAGATAACTATATTTTTAATTACCGGATAATTGATGATTTTTTTGATGTTCAAATAATAAAGTTACACGTAAACTACTATACTGTAATCAATGAGTTATTTGCGCGCTATGGTAATTGATCGAGAATAAATAGGTTTAAGATTAGCTCAATTTTTAAAGACGATCCTATCTTTTATAAATCACCGACTGTTGAATTATAATTGTCAAGAATTAAATAATAAATAAATAAATAAATATAAATTTCCTCTCCCTTTGCCATTATAAATCACACTTTGATCTACCGGGGATAGGTTTTGCACATTTACGATAATTTAACAATAATCATTTATTTCTTTCCAATTAAAGACTGCAGGAACAATAATTAATATATTTGTGTATCATAGATTAATTAATTTTTTTTTTCGTCTGTTGGATGAGCTGTGTCAGCTATCCTTGGTCAGATCATTTTTTGTACAAACTAAATAAAACAATACGGATAAAATGAAAAAATTTGTTTTTCATCCTTGCGATGTACTTCGCTTGACTGTGTACAATAAATTAATGTTTAAAAATATATGCATAATTATTTATTAGACTTGTTATTATTTTTTTAAATTATAATGAAACAATTAAAAATTTATAATAATATTCTGCTATTTCTTAAATTCATATGTAATGCTGAGTGTTATACGTAATACTGAATAATAGATGGAACATCAAAATTATAGAGGCATTGCATTGCATTGTTGGTGTTCTGAACTGTCGACTGCGGCAAAGGGAAGCGTCCCAGTTCCTTCTTTTCGTCAATTTTAAAAGAGCGTTTGATTCTGTGAGCCACAGATTCTTGTGGCTGAAGCTCTTTAAGCTTGGACCGAGTGCAAAGCTAGTTCACCTACTAAGAAACATCTATAACACCGCACACTTTAAACTGCAGATCAATGGTCAGATGTCTCAAGACTTCAAGATCAATGAAGGAGTCCTTCAAGGAGAGTTACTCAGCCCACTCCTATTTTTAACTTTTATTGCTGACCTTGAAACCTTCATGAGAGAAAAAGGCTGTATAGGCACCGAATATCGATGGCTATGTTGATATATTGCTACTTCTCTATATGCTGATGATCTTAGTAAGTACTTACTTCGGCCAAACACGCCCAATATATGCTAACTCTATATACAGGCACGTGCTTGCGCGCGCAAATTTGAATTCTAGTATGACAAAAAAATTTATAATAATAATAATAATGATTTTATTTGTATCACATAGGCAGTGTTTTACAAAGTGTTTTCTAAATAGAAAGACAAGCAGCGCTGTTTTTCTATTTAGCTCGTTTTTATGTGGATTACATAGTATTAAATTAATTACATTAATTTTAATTTTAATATTTAATATTTGGCATACATTTCACCACTTTTTTGGGTACATTGCTTTTTTACAATATTTTAACATATCCCATACTATTTTCCACATACGTTTTTCCTCATTTTTTTAAAATTTATTTCTTAATTATCTCTACTTATTCTTTATCACACATTCATGCGCACTCTTTCTTAGACTAGCATTCTAATTCACAGCCTCTTTTGTTATATTGCTCTCTTCTCTGTTCTCACTCTCATTTTCTCTCAATACCTTTTCTATTTCTTTCAATAATTTACATACATTTTTACATATTTTACTATTTAAGCATTCTATTATTTTTATCTCTATTATTTTTTCACATTCTTTATAATTGTTCCAAGTCTCTAATGTTTTTTTACTCTCTTCGCTTAATTTTTTACTAATTTTTTCACACATTAACACATGCGCTAGCGTTTCTTCCTGACTTTTACACTCCCTGCACTTCCAGTCACTTATACCTTGACAAAAAAATTTATATTTTTTCCCCCATTCACCTATTCAATTCATTACATCAGTCGCCATCTAGAGTAAAAAAATTATTAATTACATTTCACAGACAGTCTGGAATCAGTGGAGTCACGGACTATTTTTTTTTGCGGAGTAATTATGAGATTATTCAGTCCCATAATAAAATTGAGATGAAATGTGAGGAACAGAGATCAATGTACCGAAATGTGTGAATATGAAGAAGAAAGCTTCTGCACATACTCGGTCTAGTCCCCTTTTATTATTATTCTTGGGCCTACATACGTAATGTAATAATCGGCGTTGTATACATGCCATATGGCTCCTTACGGAAGATTCTATGTAACAAGTGTGTACAGGCGTACCCGATACAGAGCACAAGCCATAGCAGGGGAGCTCATGATTCTGATTAAATCAGCATTAGAGCAGGAGAGAAAACCTTTTCAGGATCCTCGACAATGACACCAAATGTCGAGTCGCCAATATATTTTATTATACATTTGCGTCGAGCCTTTAATCACAATCTTCAGTGTCCTTTGAACCTGTACTGATCCTGATGCTGGCTGATATATATATATATTGCTATTGGAGTGTGGAGAGTTTCTATAAGTATAGTCTATCGTTGCACAATCACTTTGAGGTATTACTCCCTAAGTAATTTTTTTTTTGTAATTAATTATACCTTTCTCTTTTTTAGAACGATGACTTTGCTCACAGATTGATTTACTAATTCATTTTTAATTTATTCAGATTGAGAAATTATTTATAAATCATACACGGAAAAATTACATTTCATAATGTAACGTTGCACTTGATTTATAAAACTAAAAAATTAGTATAATTTTTAAAGGTTCTTTTTAAATGTAAATAATTCATTTAAAGCTGTAAAAATTATTATTCAACTTTACAATTTTTAAAATATTATTTCAAACTGCAATTTTTTAGTTTTTAATTTGAAGCGATACTTGTTACTATTTACTATGTAATTTTTGCCTTTTTCTTTGTTTTGTGTAAAATTAAGAACAGAAATTTTAGATATTTTTTGAAGGATATATGTTTATTGTTCAAATAGACTGATAAAAACTATTATCAGAAAACTTTTATAGCTCGTCTATTATTAGTATCAATTACAGTATATGTATTTCATGGATTATATATCTGAAAAAAACTAAATTTAATTATCAAACTTTAATTCTACAAATATGAAGAAAAAATTACTAAAAAAATGAAATTTTTATTTGTAAAATCCCATAATAAAATTGAGATGAAATGTATGTGAAACCAATCTATTCGTGTTATGATTGGTCGAAAATAAATATTCTCATTCTGATTGGTTGAAAGTGAATATAATATACATAAACGACACATAAATATATCATGACAACAAATATGACGCGTGCGCTTGCGCGCGAAAATTAAATTCTAGTCTTGTTATAAATTGCACGTGGTAGAGGGGGAAAATCCCGAACAAATCCGTGCAAACCCGCGTGGTTCATGTTCTTGGTGGGACGACTATATTTATATTATTTATATATGTATATTTTAAATGACCATTTTTCTTGAGGTTAGTCTATATAAAAGCGGCTAAATGAAAAACCTCCAAATTTCCAAATCGACATAAGTGGTATAGTCGACTACACACTGTATGTATAGTTGTTTGTAAGCAATAGCATTTAGAGTAGTTAGCAGACTAGTGTGTGTTAAAATTTAATATACGATAATAATAAAATAAACCGTGTGACTATTAATCCAGTAATTGTATTAATAATTTATAATTATTCATCCAGATATCTTTTATTTGTTTATAGTTTTAACAACTAGATTAATAGGTTTAGTCACCGTTAATAGATTCATATCAAATTTCATATTCATGGAAATTTTATCAAAGATTTTTTTATCAGCTTTTTTAATAATATTTCAAAACTAATTATCGCTAAATTTAATAATTAAAAGTAAGTACTCAAAATTAATAAAAATGACGGATAGATATTTACGAGATTTGGATCCAATAAATAATCAGCATCTCCATGGCATAACAGAAAATGCTGTTTTTCCTGATCATGTAACTATATTTTTTTTCATCATACTGAAGTTAACTGACAGCTGTCAATTTTTTAAATTCTTATAACAAATCAATTACAATTCTACTTAAAAGTGCTTTTAAAAATTTTCTGTAATTTTTACATGTGGTATTTTTTTATTAAATTTTTTTCATAAAAATTTAATTGTTATAAAATTTTAAAATAATTTCTAATGTCTGTCAACTTCAGTCTATACTAAAATTTCATACACGCAACTAAAAATTTTTATTTTCAGTTAAATGAATTAGAGTACAAACCAAGAACTTTAATTGATGAAACATTGGAAATAATAGATCCTACTCCCAATGTTTATACGATGTTTATTCAATTTAATGAAAAATTTTTCTGGAATAAGTTGGATGCTGTTCAGGTGCGATGGAGTAATCGAATGACAACGTAAGTTTATGAAAATTAAGTTAGCCGACATTTAAAAATTTTTATAATTTTTTTTTATTGGAAAATTACTACAAAAAAATAAAAAAAAAATTGCACGTCTAAAAAACTTCAAAAACTGTAAGTGCAATTTTTTAAAAAATTTTTTTGTTCTAATTTGATTATTAAAAAAAAAAAAATCAAAAAATTTAGAACATCGGCTAACTTGAATGACATCGTAAGTTTTATCATTTACCTGCTTGGAAAAAAAAAATCAACTTAAATTCTTAAAGTTATCAATATAAATTTTTTATAGATGTGCTGGCACATGTTCGTTCCATCCACGTAATCGTGAGTGTGTTATCTCTCTCAGTTTGCCATTGCTTAAACTAAGACCCAGAAAGGATTTAGTGGAAACTTTGCTGGTATTTTATTTTTATTTAATTTATTATTATTTCTTTGTTCACAAATTTATTTCAAATGATACTAAAATTGAGAAACGTCTAAAAACTTTTAGAATTTTTTAAATAAATGAATTATAGTAAGGAAAATTTATTTTTAAAAATTCCATAATTAGAAGCTCTAAAAAATTATAAATGCAATTTTTAAAAAATAATTTTTTGGACCTTGTTTATTAAAAAAAAAAAAAAAAAAAAATCAAAAAATTGTCAAGTGTCTACTAATTTCAAAAATAATAATTGTTTTATTTATTCCACAGCACGAAATGATTCATGGTTTTTTATTTATCACAAATAATAATCGTGACAGAGATGGCCATGGTCCTGAATTTTGTAAACATATGGAGAGAATAAACCGTGAAGCTGGAACTAAGATCACAGTAATTTATATTTCTATAAATTAAATTAAGGGGTTACACGGGTTTCTTCCGGGAAAAAATGGCCTATTTTCAAAAAAATTTTTTTAACCCTTACGTTAATAACCAATTTTACAGTTAAAGATTATTTAAAAAAATAAAAAGTAAATAAATTAAATGCACTCACAACTAACTTTCTTTTGAGTTAAAAAACGACGATTCAAGAGCTTAAGATAAAATATTGAATTTTCTTTAAGTTATTCATATAAATACACGGCGGTGGGTACCCGGGTGCCCGGTTACTAACACAAGGGTTAATAGCAAATATGAAAATTTTCGCTTGAGTAGTTCTCGAGAAATCTTGGGTACCGTCTTTGAAAACAAAGTTTTAAGAAAAACACGTTTAAAGTTTTGAGTAATAATACAATATCGCCTTAAGCGCGCAACTTTTTAAAAATTTATCTCCGAAATTACTATTCGGATCGATTTGAATTTTTAGGACAATATTCTAGAGATGTTATAGAATTTAATAAGACAAAAAAAAAAATTGATTTTTTGAAACCGTGAAACCCATGTAACCCCTTATATTAATGGGATTGTAATTAAATTAATAATTGATAACTTGAATATTTTTAATTAAATAGATTTATCACGATTTTCATGACGAGGTGCGTTTATATCAACAGCATTGGTGGAAATGCGACGGTCCGTGTCAAAAACGTCCTCCTTACTTTGGGATAGTTCGTCGCGCAATGAATCGCCCTCCTGGACCTTCAGACTTCTGGTGGCAAAATCATCAACAGAATTGCGGTGGCAAGTATATAAAAATCAAAGAGCCCGAAAACAAACAGCCTACTAAAAGTAAAAAATCTAGTGAGATCTCCAAACCGCTTCCGAAACAAAATACTTTAGATAATTTTGTTCAATCTACCAAAACAAGTTCAAGTTCAACTTCATCATTCTCAAATGATTCACCAAAGAATAAGTCAGGAGGAATTAAAAATATTTCTGGAAACACTAGATCTGTAGGTAGCAAAACTGTAACAGTCAGTAAAGTTGGATCAGGAAGTTCAAATACAAGTGGTCTAAACACAGAAGGTATTAAAAAACTCGGAACATCAACGAATAATGTTTTTGGTTTCGGAACTGGAGGCCCCGGATCTTCAAGTTTGACTTCATCGCCTCCTGTCGCACCAAATTCTTCAAGAAATCGAATTAATTTCTCTGGTGTTTTGGGAGGAAGTAACACTGGTAAAAGTATTTTGTTAACTCGCTTTATGTCACCTCAACCGAGAAAAAATTCTGAAGAAATAAAACCTAAAACTCCTCCAAAGCAAGACCAAAAAAATGAAACTGGCAATAATGCACCCGAGTGTCCTATTTGCAACAAAATAATTATCGATGAGAATATAAACCAACATATCGACTCTTGCTTAGTTTCCAACGATACAAATTCGGAAGAACCGGCGCAAAAGCGTCCAAAGATTACAGAGGAATCAACTCATGAGTGTCCATTTTGTCAGCAAAAATTTTCAGCATCCTTGATTGATATTCATGTAAACGATTGCTTGAATTTAGATGTGTTAGATGATAATTCTCGGGCAAAAAGATCGCAGACTGGCGGTAGTTTAAGAGAATCTTCTGCAGCACTTGAGGATAAACGTATCAATTGCCCAAAGTGTAATAGACGTTTTACCAGCGACAAAATCAATGATCATTTGGATATTTGCTTAAACGAAGTCGGTGACTTAGCTTCCAATGACTCCGTTATCAATCTCACTCATGATGCTGGTGATGTCACGGATTTAACTTTATCGCCTATAAGGCCAGTTACTGGCACTGAGGAGTGCATTACATGTGGGAGTAGAGTTAGAGTCAGAGAATACAACGATCACATTGAAAAGTGCTTGAAGAAACATCGGGAAAAAATGGAAAGAGATCTTGGTACTGTTGTTGTGGTTGATGATGCTGATCCTCGACCAGGATGCAGCAAATCTAAGAAAGATAGAAGTACTTATGAATGCTTGGTATGTAATTCGAGAATTAACAATGATATTCCATTGAATGAGCACTTGGAGATCTGTACGTCGTCAACTTTCGGTGATATGACACTTAATACCAGCGGTAGTAATTTTACTGATGAAAATCCACCTAATATGGAGCACAGATATTCTTGTCCTATTTGTAATTTGATGATTATTGGTAAAGATATGGCTGAACATGTTGACTGGTGTGTTACTCGTAAAAAATAGTTATTTTTTGATAAACATAATTATATCGCGTTACAGATACCATAAGGGCGTATAATAAAAAATTTGTTTTTTTTTTCTAAGTCAAAAAAAATTTGTAGTTTGAAGAATTTTTTTTTTTTTTTTTTTTTGGATTTGGAAAAAAAATTTTTTATACGCCCTTATGGCATCTGAAACGCAATATCTTAGTCTGATAAAATATTTATGTCCTTTGAATTAGTCTTCTTAATTTTTATTGTAACAAATTCAAGTATTACAAGATCTACTATTACTTTTTTGTTTAATTAATAATATTGATAATAATCTTATTGCTATATTTAATAAATATATTTTTTTTTATATCTATTTTTAAAAAAATTAAATTTTTTCATACAAATTCAAATCGTCAAATCTTCTTGCAGTACAAACTCCACAGGTGAATTCTTGAATATAATTTGGGAAAAATATCAATATTTGATCTTTTGTGAAATGAATAAATGGAATGTTATTACTCAGAAGAATGTGGACTGAATTTTTGTCAAGCCTAAATCTGTAAAAAATTTTCACAATATTAAATGTCGTAAGATTTAATTATTACACAAGTACAAATTTCATGTTATATTAATTGAATAGTATTAAGTTTAAGATGAATTATAAGCTTAATTTTTTCAATTGTAAAAAGTCTGATATTTGTTAATAAAATATTTTTATAGTGAATTTTATATAAATACCTTTTATCATTAACAAAATTCCATTCAAAGTCTTTAGTCAATGGCAATTGATCTGTAAAATTATAAACTGTCCCACCATTTTCTGGTGCTATTTTAATATTATTACTATCATCATTAATATTTAAAGTAACTCCTTCATTTGAGCTGATTGCTGTCAAAGCGAACCCTGGATTTTCATCGTAACACTGGCCGAGTACTAAAAATTCACGGCCCTTTTCTACTCTACGCGTTACATTGTGAGCTGATTGAATCATATCAGGCGTTATAACACAAAAACCTGTAGTAAAAAAAAAAATTATTTAGTAAAAAAAAATTCATTAACCACTCAACAATAAATTAAAAAAAATATTTACTGAAAAACGCGCGAAGAAAAGCATTGTCAATGTATCTATGTAATCTAGTGCGCGTCAAAAGCATATCAACTATATCAAGATCGTATTTAATCGGCAGCTTGCTGCGATTGACACGCATTTCAGCTCTTGTACTGTCTTTGGGGAACGTCGCACCAACAACAAATTGCTCTGAATTCGCTAAATAGCTGCTGTTGCCGCCAATAAAGTCATACAGAGCTCTTAATCTCCAAATTAAAGCCTCTATCTTCTCTGGTAACTGATGAGACAATAAAAAATATATATTAAGCGTTGACTTAATTAATTATAAAAATTAATTTAGCAGCTATTTGATAATTTTAAGAATTTTTTAACAAATAAACTATGGCAAAAAAATTATAATACTAGAGTTAGCCGACGTTTTTAATTTTTTTTTTTTTTTTTTTCAATAATTAAATTAAAACAAAAAAATATTTTCTAAAAATTGCACTTACAGTTTTTCAATTTTTTTACAAATGAAATTTTTTTTTTTTTTATATTTTTATAATCATTTTTTCGATAAAAAAAAAATTCTACTAATTTGTTAGATGTCGGTTAACTTAATTATAATGAAAAAATTAGAAAATAAAAAATTGACATGTAGAAATTTTAATAAATTAAAATTAAAAATGCAGTTTTTTAAAAATAATTTTTTTTAACAAATTTTATCGTTAAATAATTTTCAAGTGACTGCTAAAGTTAGCTTTAATGTAATTAATTAATTAATTAATTAATTATAAAAATAATGATTTACATTTTCAGATTTAACAAAAACTTGGTATTTTCTCAGCGTTGATAATTCTCTGGAAGCTTGATAACAAGCTTCAGTGTAAGGTACAACAGATTTCCCACTTGATTGTCTACGACACTGATTGTAAGGCCACTTATCTTTCTTACTTTCTTCAATTTGGTCTTTACTAACTTCTCCGACCATATTTAAGAATAATGATGAACCGGAACATTTGCCTTTAGCACTTTCAGAGACTCCCCATATTATATTTAAGTTTATCGAAGCTTGATCACTGGGCTTAAGACTGAAATAGTCCCAGGTCCATGGCATGATTCGTTCTATCTCTACACAAACCTAAAATTTTATAATTTATTCATAAATTTAATTATTAAATATTATGTTATTGAATAATTGGTAGTATTAATTGCTAAATTGCTTTACCTTCATAACTTTTTCTCCAGGCTCAGTTCTACTAGCTTTTATCTTCAGAGAATCAGAGACCCAGGTCTTGGACTCATAAAGAGCCGCAAAATTCCATTGTTGCAATACTTTTAGACTTCCTAACTCGCTTCGCGTTAAAGAGAGCACGTAATTCTTGCCATTTTTGGCAAATTCAAATTTCACCTAATAATTTATTTTTTATTTTTGTTATTTTATTATTTCTTTTTTCTTAAAATTATTAATAGGTGATAAAAATACCTCTGAGGGTTGAATATTTGATGGTTCGATATAAAGCGCTACACCACAACTTCCTCTAGGTGGTACATAACTGAAGTAATCCAAAAAATGAATCCCTAGAAGTAATAGTTTAGCTCCTGACCAAGACCTGAAATAAAATAATTTATTGAGTATTTTTAATATAACATAAGTGAATAATTTAAGTTTAACAAACATTTAACAATTTTTTTTTATTCTTAAAACAATTAAAAAAATTTACTATTGAACAAAATTATAAATATTGTAATAAGAAATTAATTTTATGAAAATTTCCAATAATTTTATTTCTTCGCTGAAGAAATAAAATTTTTCACACAGTAACTTTTTTGTTTTAAAAAAAATTTACTGAGTAAAAATTTTTTATTTCTTCAGCTGAGAAATAAAAATTTTCAAAAAATTAATTTTTTATTACAGCATTGCTTATTTTTTTTAAAAGAATTTTTTTTTCTCACCCTAATGAAGAAAATTAAGCAAAAAATTCTACATGCAGAAATTTCAAAAAATTACAAGAGCAAATTAAAAAAAAATTTTTTTTTTTATAACTAAATTGTTATAAAAATTTCAAGAATTATTAGATGTTTGCTTATTTTAAATTATCTAAAAACTGATTCAGAAGAAATTAGTTAACAATTAAAATAAATTGACTCAGACAAAAATATAAAATAAAATTTGTACATACTGATAATTACTCCTATGTGATGACCAGATATCATTAAATAATTCATCTTGTGCAATTTCCCGATCACAATCAAATACTTTTACTTGTAATTGCCCTCCAAGTTCCGACAAAACTGAATTGAGAACAACTGCATTCTAAAAAAAATAAACCTGCCATTAAATTTGTAATTATAAAACTTTTATTTTTTAAAATAAAAGTACCTGTAAATCTTCATGCGGATATTTTTTTACTGTATACAAACTTGGGCAATGCTGACAAATAGCTTTTAATTTCTGTGCAGCTTTAATGCCTCTAACAGTAGTTATTGTTCGAGCATGTGCAGTCAAACCGGTTTGTAAATACTCTGCAAATATAAAATTATAAAATTAATTGACTGATTTTATATTAATTGTTAAGGAGTAATCAACGTACCAGTAGGTGTATTGTAAGATAAAAATAATTTTTCTTGAATCCCTACAGTAACATTGGTAGGAAGATATCCGTGGATTGATTGAGAACGTTCAGCAGAATGCCAAACATCAATCAATGGATTGTAAGTTTCAACTACTTCAGTACCGTGAATAACTGTGCTGCAACAAAATAATAACAATGCGTCATTATATAAAAGTCATTATATAAAATAAAAATAAACGAATTATCTTACCGTAAAATAACGTGATTGTTACGCCCGTTGAATAAATATGTAAAGTTTCCTCTCATTGAAAATAATGAATTAGCTGTAGCAGCAAGTCTTACATTTGTTCCTAAATCAGTCACTTGAATTGATTCCATTGTTAATGGTATATTAATTCGCTGTTGGTTTACATGAAACTCCATATTTTGATAAATTTGATAAGTATTTTCTGGTAATGATCTTAAATCTAAATAAATGCATTGATAAATCAAATATAAATTATTTATTCATGATACTAAAATTAGCCGATGAAAATTAAGTTAGCCAACATTTAAAAATTTTTAGAATTTTTTTTTTAATGAAAAAATTATAAAAAAAAAAAATTCACTTGTAAAAAACTTGAAAAACTGTAAGTGCAATTTTTAAAAAATATTTTTTTGTTTTAATTTAATTAAGAAAAAATCAAAAAATTAAAAACGTCGGCTAACTTTATTATCATAAAATTTTTAGAAGTTTTTTTTTTTTTTTAATGAAAAAATTATTACAAAAAAATAAAAAATAAATTTCATTTGTAAAAAACTTGAAAAACTATAAGTGCAATTTTTAAAAAATATTTTTTTGTTCTAATTTAATTATTAAAAAAAAAATCAAAAAATTAAAAACGTCGGCTAACTTTAGTATTATAATTAGCCTATGTTTAATAATTTTTGATTTTTTTTATTAATTAAATTAAAACTAAAAAAATATTTATAAAAAATTATACGTATAATTTTTGAAAATTTTCTACATGTGAAATTAAAAAAAAAATTTTTTTTTTCAATAAAAATTTTCAGATGTCGGCTAATTTAATTTTTATTTCTTCTTTTAAATAAAATAAATTTGAAAGTGATAACTTACATGCTAGCGCGCTGTCAATATTTGTTTTATTAAAATGCAAACAAAAAACAGCTTTTTGTTGAACGCGTGCTATTATTTCAATATGAGGCGAATCGAAAGATCTATCATCTAATTTAAACTCTTTCAAAATGTCTTTTATTCTAACAAAACTCTCCAAGTAGTGCGATAATGAATGAATTAATCCAGTGGCTTTTATTTCTATCTAAAAATTAAATTTTTTTTAATAATTATTCAAATTAACTTTAGTTTAATTATGAAAGTACTCTTACGGCAATTTGATTGAAGTGTGTACCACTTCCGTGACTGTTTAATGTAATATAAGCAATCTCTGGTATGTTAGACAATGGACTCGCTATAATAATATTTTGTACCATTGCACCAAAGTTACGTTTCATATCTTGGTAATCAAATATGTAATTTCCAGTAATAATATGCTCGTCGCTTTCAGGTTTTTTGAGAATACGTGAGAATTGTGTCGCTACAGATCCACTGTCAATAATAAATTGATTTGTGAGTTAAATTTTTTAACTACACTGAGAGCGAAATTTTTTTTTTAAATAATCAACATTGTTACAAGAAATTATTCTGTAGAAAATTTTATTTCTTAGCTGAAGAAATAAAAATCTTTTTTTTTATTTAAAAAAAAATTTTAGGTAGAAAACTTGTAAATTTTCATTAAAAATTATTTTTTTCCAAATCTAGAAAACTTTTTTTTTAATAAGAAAATTACTCTGAAAAAAATTTTCAACAAATTAATTTCTTATCACATTACTAATTTTTTTTCAAAAGAAATTTTTTCTCTCAGGATAGTATCAAATAATTGAAAAAAAAAAAAAAAAGTAAAATAAAATTACATGTGTTTGTAACAAGGAAAATTAGTTCTCTCCATAGATTTTAATGTCGTATAAAAATAATTAACTAAATGTAAATCAGACTCTCCTTGCATGTACCAATAAAGTGAAATGATGCGATTAGATGTTGGGTTTGACTCAATTAATAATTGCAACGCAGCTATACGCATTTCCAAGTATTCTGTGCGATTAGCAAGTATTGGCCAGTAAGCTCGATAAATCTAAAATAAAATCCAGCAATTATAAATAATTAACAATCAATTACACTGAGAGAAAAAATTTATTTTAAAAATAATGGACATTGTTGTAACAATAAATTAATTTATTTAAAATTTTAAACAATTTTATTTCTTAGATGAAGAAATAAAAATTTTTCTCACAGTAATTTTGAAAAAAAGTTTTTTTGATTTGATAAAAAAAAACAATTTTAGATAGAAAATTTTTAAATTTTAATTAAAAATTATTTTTTTCCAAATCTATAAAATTTTTTTTCAACAAGAAAGTTTTTGTGAGAAATATTTTTATTTCTTCAGCTGAGAAATGAAATTTTTAAAAATTTTTTTTAAAATTAATTGCTTATTTTATTTTCAAATTAAATTAATTTATTTAAAATTTTAAACAATTTTATTTCTAAGCTGAAGAAATAAAAATTTTTCTCACAGAGTAACTTTGAAAAAAAGTTTTTTTGATTTGATAAAAAACAATTTTAGATAGAAAATTTTTAAATTTTAATTAAAAATTATTTTTTCCCAAATTTATAAAATTTTTTTTCAACAAGAAAGTTTTAGTAAGGAATATTTTGATTTCTTCAGCTGAGAAATGAAATGTTTTAAAAGTAATTGCTTATTTAATTTTAAAATAAATTTTTTCTTTCAGTGTATCCAACAGCTAATAATAAACAAAAATGTATCTTACAATATCTGGTCTATCACGAGCAGTAGGTAATGACGCCCAAGCAGCAAGCACGCGTAAATGTCGTGACTCTTCATTGCTCCCAATGGCAATTGGTTCCAAAAATTCAACAACTTTACCTAGCTGTATATTAGCAAGTCCTTCTAACCATATCATCTTCCTATTATAACTATCACTTTCCGTAAACTTGTCCATGTAAAGCCGTACATAGTCATCCAGTACTTCATCAGGACAATGAATGAAGCATGTCTTATAAATGAGCGTTCCAAAAGTGAGAATGCCCGTATTGCGTACTTCCGCGGACAATTTTTCCGGCAAATCAATCAGTGTTTTCATTTTGTCTAAAAATTCAACGTCTGGCTTGCGAATATGAAACGGCAATTGCGTCAACAATTGCATCGCTGTAATGTCAGATACTTTTTTCTGCTGAATTAAGTCCATTACAAACAACGCGGAGTCTTTGGTACCTATTTGCGGTACTAGTTCAAGAAACATATTTCTGATTGTTTCTTCTTTGTAACTTGTACCGGAAATGTTCTTGTAAGCCGTTTGTAAATCTACGCGGTCAAATTTACTGAGATAGTACAGCAGAATAGATATTGTTGTATTGTGCAAATTATTTATCTCAGTGTCTAGTCCTGGGTTCTCTAGTCGTTGGCTCAATCGATCTAGTAGGACAGAAATCTGTGAAGAAATAGTTATTTAATAATAAATTAAGTAAAAAAAAAATCCTAGCAAAAATGAACTGTGAGGAAGTAGTCAGGATGATATATAAAGAGCAATTGCTCTTTAGAAGCTGATGAAGAATTTCTTAGTATTTAAGAAATATTTTTTAAATACTAAGAAATGATATTTAAGAAATGATTTCTTAAATACTAAGAAATCTTTCTATCAATGAAGGAATAGAAGAAATAGAAAGAAAACTCAATAAAGAGATAATGCGGATGAAAGAAAAAGTAAAAAAAGAAGACGAGGAAGCGATAGAGAAATCAACATATTGTAAATTATATAAGAAAATAAAAATAAATCAAGGCGAAAATTACTATTGGAAGAAAGATCAGATAAAAGAAGAAGACAAGGAAATCTGGGCGAGGATACAGTGTGAGAACTTAGGGAGAGACGGAAAAAAGGGATACAAGGATTGGAGATGCAGAGTATGTGAAGGGGAAGAAGAAACATTGATGCACATAATTAAATGTTAAGAAATATACGAAAAATTAGGAGAAGAAAAGAGTTTCTTAAATGAATGAAAATAATTACAAAATGAAAATATATAAGAAAGATTAATAGAAGTACTAAAAGGAAGAATACACGGAAAGAAGTAAACTGTAATAAATAATAGTCGATTTATAATAATTAATGATCATCAATTGAAAAAAATTATCATTTCAAACAGTAAAATCGTGATTTTAACAATCACTTTATAATATTTATCATTTAAATGTTACAATTTATTATTTACATGGAAGAGAATACTATTTAAAACAGTAATATTCGCTATGTGAAAATCCAAAATGTTAAAATACAATAATTAAGAATTTTAACTTTGATATTTATCATTTTGTACCTAAAAAATGATCGCATGATATGTAAAAAATTTCAAATACAGTTACTAAATTTTCTATACAAGCAACGTCAATATTTGCAAAGTAAAATAGTAAATTTTAAACGCAACGCTAAAAATCAAACTATAATTATTGATTTGCTTGGACTGGTAAAATAAATATTTTAAGAGAGGAATTTTTACTGTTTCAAATGTTTAATTCTCCTAATGTGAGACCTTCCCCTTCGTCTTATAGTATAAATATTGAAATGGCAATTTTTACTGTTTGAAACTGTAATTTTTTAAGATGAGAGAATTGTTATTTACTATAGTGACAGTTACTAATCACATTTTCGATATTAAATTATAAATTGTGGCTTTTACACTTTCTACATTAACATGCACGGTCTTCAAAAAAATTGAAAATATCCTAAAGAAAAATACAGACAAAATACAGAAAAACGACGTGCGAACAAAATAATAAAAGAAAAGAAAGATAGAAAGATTAAATAAAAAAAAAAATAACATATACAATTAATATCGACATTCTAATTAGCAAATTGTTTAACTCCATTTTAGAGAATCTTCTATTTGTACGAAAAAAATAATTAGTTGAAAATTTATTATCATTTTAAAAAACCATTTAATATTATTATTATATAATAGAGATATAATTTATAATTCGATTATGGCTACATCAAAATGTTAAAAAATCACCCTCTAAAAAATAAGGAGTTAGACAAATTGCTAATTAGATCATCGATATATAGAAGTAAATTATGTAAAAACTTTGTAAAAGACAAAAATCGTGCAAATAAAACTCTATTATTAGTTATTTAATGAATTTAAGTTTTACGTAATTAATGAAGAAATCATCAATGAAGAAATGTTAGAATAAATGATAAAATTAATTACTGATTTAAAAATGTGTTCTTTTTCGTGCGTATATCTTTCCTGTGATAAATCATTATCAGGAAGCTCATGTAGTAAACTGACTTGACGTAATTTATCGTTTGATAAATCACCATTGAAATCCGTAACGTCAATCAGCTTAAAAATTTGTCTTGTAAATAAAAATTGTGACTCGTACATATTTTTAAATGGCTGAACATAAACTCCACCCGTAGCATTTATGAATGTTATTTCAGTGTCATTACCGTCTAATTTAACTTTGTATAATCGTTCGCTTGATTTTATAATTGGACTCTGTAAACAATTTTATTAGCGGCTAATTCATTATGAGATATTATACCAGTTATTTAATAAAGTATAAATAAACCTTACTTCATCTCCAGTCGGGCATCGCATTCGTGGTACATTGGTCCATGTCCAATGAGGATGACCAGAACAAGTACGCGGGTCAAAATATTTTCTTACCCATAATTCATTGTCTGATTTGATTGTTACGATATTTTCAATGTTACATTTTCCGTAATGTGAGTCCTAGAAAAAAAATTTTTAATTTTTAATGTTACTAATACTTTATAAAAAAAAAAATTTATATAATGTGCGAAAGAAGAAATATTACTTCTTGTGAATGAAAGGCAACTTCTTTTTGTAAAATATTTAAATCAAACTGAAAAATACTAGCAATACTCCGTTGAATATTTATCGCCCAAGTAGAATCTATTTCAACACTAAAATTAGTAACTGTTCCATTGGAATAGATTATTTGGAAGGGCTTTAGAAGTTCCGCAGCTTGATCTTTGACCTCAACAAGATTTGGCTCTTCGACGTTTTTTCCATTCCATATAAAAGTTTTTAAATCAGTCAACTATTTAAATAAAATTTTTAATTAATTTACAAAAGATTTTACGCTGTTTCTTCTTAATCTATATTATTGAGAGAATAAGAGAAATTTTGTCTCCAGGATAGTCATATGATAAAATCGGTTTTTTTAGTTAAATTTAGTGTCATTGCAAAGGTCTTGACTTGAATTTGTGCCTTTTAAAGGTTTCATATCATTCTCACCGATAGTCAATTTATTATGGTAAGTATTAAGGCTGCATTCGAAAATTCTCTATCTCTAGATACATAATTAAGAAATGATTTTTTATCTTGTGAAATATTGACATTTTTAAAGATATAAGCTGATCCCGATGTTACACTCATCGAGACCTTTCATTTGAGTACCCACATCAATTTTTCATATATTTATATATATTACATATATGTATATATGAAAAATATATCAAAAATGCATATGGGTACTCAAATGAAAGCTCTTGAAAAGCTTTTGATGAGTGTAACATCGAGATGAGCTTATATCTTTCAAAATGTCAATATTTAAGAAAGTACAGGGCCTTTTAACAAATAACTTATGAACTATTGACAATTTTAAAGATATACGCTCACCCCGATGTTACACTCATCGAGACCTTTCATTTGAGTACCCACATCAATTTTTCATATATTTATATATTTTATATATATTATATATATGTATATATGAAAAATATATGAAAATGCATGTGGGTACTCAAATGAAAGCTCGTGATGAGCTTATATCTATAAAAACATCAATATTTAAGAAAGTACAGTGCAATTTAACAAAAGTCATTATTTAATAAAGCAAAATTTTATTTATTTATAATTCACAAATCACGGCAGTCACATAGTGATTGCAAGGTTGCTAGTAAAATTTATTTAAAAAAATATTTTTAAATTTGAAAAATTAATTACCTGCATTTGCGCAATATTATTAGATGTTTTAACAATAAATTTACCCTCCATACCCCATGACGATGAAGCTTTTGAGGGTGATAACACGCCAGAGTTAGACTCTGCGAAATATGAATACTCGTATTTCTTCCCGGTTTTAAATATATTATCACCGGATGTTACTGATATTGTTATTATTAAAATAAATAATATTATTTTCCGGTACATTTTAGATTTATTCCATATCACATCTAAAAATCCAAAAGAAGAAATAATTAATTACAGTTAAAAATTCTTTCATAATGACAATTATTAATTTTAAAAATAATTTAAGAGTGTAACTAAGTTTTTTAATATACTGAGTATGAGATTTTTAGAAAAATAAATACCTGGGGACATAATTGTGTGGGTCCGTCACAAGACTGGTGTCGACTGAGTTCATGAAAGTCAAGAGATGACCTGCACACTGGCTATGTACTGCTCGATGTGTGTGCTCTCATCTCATATCGCAGTGGCTTATGAGCAAGTTTAACTTTTTATTGGTGTTAGTTAAAATTATCCCATCGACAGATTATCTTCAATCTCATCATGTCCTCTTTACATACCCATATACCAATGTATGTATATGAGTCAAGACTAAACATGTTTATACAGCAAAGAATACACAAATATATATATATATATATATATATATATATTCGTTACCCTCCTGATAATTATGAAAGAAAAATTTTTACCATATTTAACTAAACAATATACATTTTTTTTATTTATTAATTAATATATTTATTACTTATAGTTAATTATTTAAATATCATTTTATTTTATTGTCATGGAAAAATATATTCAAAACGAATAAATTGAACTTTGGCCTCTTTTATATTTAGAACTACTAGAATTTCTTAGTATTTATAATGATAAATTTTTTATTTCTTATTTTACTACGAAATATATTAGTGAAATTTAAAAAAAAAAAAACTGTACGATTTCGTCAAATCAATTAATTTTATTTTTTTTATTTATAATTTTAGTTATTTGCAAATTATTGAAGTATCTGAAGAAATAATTTATATGCAAATTATTTTAAAACAGTTATTTAATTATATTTTTAAAATATCCAATAATTATAATGTCTTTTTTTTTTTAATTAAATCTTTTTCAAACATATCTAAGATATCTTCAGCAGTTTATGGATTATTTACACTTAAGTACTCCTACGCTTCGCTAAGAATAAAAAAATCAGAGAAACGGCTGATCATCCAACCCATGACTGGAATTTCCCGCTATTTACAAACTCAAGATGCTGGAAAATTTTTTTATCTCAAGTTTGGAACTCTTAGAGCTCAAAAATAAAACTTTAATAAATATTTTTCAAAAGCAATATTTTTTGAACAAATTGACCTACTATAATAATGCGGTTTGCGACAATAGTGAGATAAGATGAAGAGTGATTCCAAAAAAATATTTTTGTGGAAAAAATATTTTTTTGAAAAAAATTTGTACATCAGTTCTTGCAATTGCATGATTGTAAGTGCTATTATAATTAAATGTATAATATAATATATTTACAATTCCTCGCGAGTTTTGCTTAATTGTATCGAATATTGTTTGTTATTATAAATTTTTACATGTTTTATTTTCTTAGGTAAAAAATTTTTATTAAAAACCCTAAATAAATATAATAAAAAAAAAATTTGGTAATTATGCAGAAGTGGGGCTCCATTTATTTTAGATAGAATTGAAATAAAATAAAAAATCAAAAAATTGATCTTTTTTAATATTTTTTTTCAAATTGTTCTTTTTCACGGCGGATTTATGATAAAGAGTATAAAAATGGAATATTTTGGTGATTTTTTTTTTAATTTAAAAAAATTACAATTTTAGGTACTTTTCAATCAAATGGTGATGATGCAATTTTTTCCGGTAATTGAAATATTTTTTTTCTTAAAGAGCGATAAAAATAGAATAAATTAAAAAAAAACATCAAAATATTTAATTTCTATACTTTTTATCATAAATCCGCCGTGAAGAAGAACAATCTTAAAAGAAATTATTTAAAAAGATCAATTTTTCGATTTTTTACACTAAAAAATAGGTCGAGTCCCACTTCTGCATAATTACCAAAAATTTTTTTTTCAAGATTTTCAATAATCCAGCCGAATACATTAAAATTTTTATGAAACTACAGCGAGAAAATAAAAATAAGTATAAATTAATAAAATTAATAAAAAAGTTTATTTTTTTATGACTAAAAAGTTGGTAAAATTTTAATCCTCACTTATGAGCTGAGTTTGCTCAATTCAATTTATCACTCAGTTGATTAATAAGAGTCGCAAACATATTTAAATCTTGAATAGTACCTCCATAAAGCCACGCTCGTGGTATAGCTATAATATAATTAGCTTCATGTAAGGCGTACGCTGGAAGAGAAAATCTTAAACCTGCAAATAAATATTAAAGTAATCGCTAATAATTTAAATTGATAATCTTCACGCAATTCTAGCTCAAAATCTTCCGTAATAATATCTAAAAATTTTTGAAAAATAGATACGAATACATAATTGTCGGCGGCAGCTTTTATTTTCTCCAAGATCATGGTGAAAAGCAGCTGAAGCTATTTACTATTCTCATTGAGATTAGGATAGTCGATGATAAGACGACGGACGATATCAACAAGCCGCAAAGTCTGTAATGGAGTCATTACATTGAATCTCATTTTTTTCCACCAGGCTGAGAAGTAATCATCAGAAATTTTCACTTAATTTGGAACTTAAGACTTATTTGATAGGTGTAATTGTCCCAAGAGGGACAAACATTGAGACCATGCATCGTCTTGCGGCTACTAAGAATACTTCTTCTATTTCAATCTCTCTCTCTCTCCTTCTACTTATCATATATTTCATTTATTAATTAATAATTGAAATATTATTTTATTTTATTGCTATGAATAAATATGTTGAAAAATAAATAAATTGATAATTGATCTTTGACCTGTTTTATATTTAGAGCTCCTAAAATTTCTTAGTACTTATAATAATAAATTTTTTATTATTTTACAATGAAGTTATATTAATGAAATGAAAAAAAAACTGTACGAATTTATCAAGTTAATTTTTTTTAATTATTTACAAATCATTGAACTATCTCACGAAATAATTTCTATACAAATTGTTTTAAAACAGTCAAATTTTATTTTTTAAATATCCAATAATTAGAATGTACAAAGCATTTCATATTATTTTTTGTCTTATTTAATTAGATCCTTTTTTTAAACATATCTACGACATCATTAGCAGCCTATGAATTATCGACATTTATAATGATTTTATGGACCGTAAAATTGATTGAGAGTACTCCCACGCCTCGCTAAGAATAAAAATAAGAATACATTAATAAAAGTCATTTTTATTATCAAAACGATTGTAAAATTTTAATTCTTACTGATGAGCTGGATTTGCTTGATCTAGACTATCACTCAGTTGATTAATAAGAGTCGCAAACATATTTAAATCTTGAACAGCACTTCCATGAAGCCACGCTCGTGGTATTGTTGTCATAATCTACAAATAAAACATTTATTAATCGTAAGATTAATTAATACAAGAATAGCTGATAAGAAGTATTGAATGAAATGTAAGTACCATATTAGCTTTATGCAGTGCGTCTACCGGAAGAGAAAATCTTAAGCCTGCTATTAAATATCGGTTAAGTAGTGAAGTAATTGCTAAAGATTTCAATTGATTATCTCCAAGCAATCCTTGCCAACTTAAAATATTCCGTAATAATTTTACTGCCATAGTGAATTGCCGTTGGAAAAATGGATGCTTTGGATCGAAAATTCTGTAAAAAAAAAAAACCAAAAATTAAGAATTTATAAAATAGGTTTTTTTAGTGGAATTTAATGTCATTGCAAAGGTCTTGATTTTAATTTGTGCCTTTTCAAGGTTTCATATCATTCTTACCGATAGTTAATTTATTATGATACGTATTTAGGCTGCATTTAAAAATGCTCTATCTCCAGGTACATAAATAAAAAATGACCTTGTATTTTGTGAAATATTGACATTTTTAAAGATATAAGCTCACCTCGACATTATACTCTTCGAGACCTTTCATTTGAGTACCCACATCAATTTTTCATATATTTATATATATTATATATATGTATATATGAAAAATATATCAAAATGCATGTGAGTACTCAAATGAAAGCTCTTGATGAGTGTGACATCGGGATGAGCTTGTATCTTTAAAATCGTCAATATTTAAGAAAGTACAGTGCAATTTAACACAAGTCATTATTTAATAAAACAAAATTTTATTTATTTATAGTTCACAAGTCACGGCAGTTACATAGTGACTGCAAGGTTGCTAGTGTATATTAAACCAAGGTAATAAACAAAGATAATTATACAGAAGTGGGGCTCCACCTATTTTTGAGTGTAAAAAATCGAAAAATTGATCTTTTTGAATATTTTTTTTTTTTTTTTACGGTGGACTTATGATAAAAATGATAAAAAGTATAAAAATTAAATATTTTGAAGTATTTTTATTTTTCTTTTGAAAGTTCAAAATTTACCATTTTAAGTGTTCTTCAATGAAATAGTGATGATGCTATTTTTCCGGTTATTGAAATATTTTTTTTTTAAAGAGTGATAAAAATAGCGTAAATTAAAAAATATCATAATTTGAAAATTTTTGAACTTTAAAATAAAAAAAAAAAAAACACCAAAATATTTAATTTTCACAATTTATATCATAAATCCGCCGTGAACAATTTGAAAAAAAAAATTATGCAAAAAGATCAATTTTTCGATTTTTTATTATATTTCAATTTTATCTAAACTTCTGCATAATTACCTAAACAAAAATTCCATATTATAAATTATTATGTAAATATTAACCTACTTTGGGAAAATAGGCATAAATACATCATTATCAATGGCAGCTTTTATTTTCTCTAAGATAGCGGTGAAAAGCAGCTGAAGCTGTTTACTTTTCTCATTGAGATTAGGATAGTCGATGATAAGACGACGGACGGTACCAACAAGCCGCAGAGTCTGTGATGTAGACATTGGGTCCCATATTTTTTCCACAATGGCTATTTTTATAAAAGTAATAGATTACAGATTATCAATGTCTAAATAAAAATTAGAAATATATGAATTATTTATAGTAGTGATAAAGTTATAAATAACTTACAAGTTAGTTTAGGAATTACTATTTTTTCAATAGCGAGTGGTATTAATCTCACATCAGGATCACGCCTGAGTGATTCTTCTGTTTCTTTTTGATCTAATCCGTATAATAGTAATCCATTATACCACTTGGTACGTTCTAGATCAGTACTTTCCTGTTAAAAATAGGATGTATTAAATATTTAGTACGAATTTTTTTTTTTTTCATAAACTCATTTGCAAGTACTCTATTTATTGATACTATTAATTCTTAATAATGTTATTTAATATTAGAATTTTTTAGTTTTAGTAAAACCTTTGTTAAGAAATGAAATAATTACCATTAATGGATTCCATGTGATAAGTTGTAATCTTACTATCGGTGAAATTATTTTAGGAATACATAATGAAACATAAGCCTCTGTGTAAGCCTCCATGTCTATTTCTCTCCAGGATTCTAGCTTAGCTAAAATACCTCGGACGGTGCAAAAATCATCCATGACATCAGAAAAAATATCTCTACTCTCTTCATCAATTTCCTCTTTCGCCTGCTTAAAAGCTAGATTTTGTTGCTCAGTAACTTCGTCATCACTTGACATACCGTCATTGTGCTTAGGAACATTTTGCATCAGCTCACGAGCTCTTCGCCGTCGTGCTCGTCGACCTTCGCGTTCTGTCGCTCGCCGAATGCGCGCATCATCTTCTGGACCTCGCCTTATAGCTTGCCCTCCTGATTAAAATAAAAAATATATTTAATATAAACAAGAAATATTTTATATACCTAGTAGCTATAAGAAAAATTTGGAAAACGGTTGACCCTAAAGGCCATCCCTGCAACTTCCCGCTAACTCCATATCTAAGCGCTCAACATGTCACTTATATTGTTTTTGAGCTCTTCAAACTCAAAAGTCTGCTAGAAGTTTTATAGAACAGAATTATTTGAATTTTTAAACCGCAATAACTTTTGAATGAATCAACTGATTTTCTCGCGGTTTGCGGCAATCAACGCAGTTTTTTGAGCTCTTTTAAGGAGGGGGGGGGGGAAAGTTCATGTAAAAGCCTCAAAATCGTTCATTCTTTTTAAATTTTAAAAAATGTAAAGAAATAAATAACTGACTTGAAGCAGACGTGATTTCTTCTGTTTGATCGCGTGTATCCTGACGACGTCGTTCCATAAGATCAGTAGAACGTTCGCCGTACAAGTTCAGCCAACGTTGTTCCAATCCTGTCACCATTGGCAGCTAACAGAAAAAAAAAATTTTTGTTATTATCATTTAATATTTTACTTAATAATTGACTATGGAAATTAATAGTACTCCTTTGCAATTTTATTACAATTTAAATATTTCAATTAAAAATATATAAATATTACTAGAGTTATACATCACTGGAGTTTTCAATTAAGTTCCAAAGCCATGATAATTTTCACAAAAAGTATTTTTTTTGGGCATTAATTCGCGATAATTTGCAATACTCACCCAATTTAAATAATTTATTTTTTATTAAATTATTATGTTAAAAAAAACTTATACATAAATAAATACAGAGAAGATTAAGACCCCTGGCAATTGAATTAACCATTATCAATACGTGCTAATTTTAAAATCAATTCCATTTATTTTTTTTCCTTCAAAGTATTGTAAAGTTTATAAATATAAATTGAATAACTTTATAAAAAATGACGCGAGCAATTAAAAAGAAAATAACGTAACATCGTGAAAACCCACCTTCTCATCAAGACACTCTACCAAGTCAGTGACATACCCACGTAACTCTTGGTAATATTTGAAGCGTTGAGCTAGCTGAGGCGCACGAATATCACCCTCTTCTAATTCCTTCAACGACTGCAGCAGTTCTTCTTTCAATTGCATTTGGTCCTGCTGATGTTTACGACGTACTTGACGTAAACTCGAGACCCTGAGCAAAAAAATATTAATTACTCTGTTGAAAAAAGGTTTTTCATTTAGCATATCCTTTATTAAAAAGTTGATGTGACATTTTAATTGTTGTCGCTTTTCGTTGCTACGGTGACCACTTTGGCAACGATTACCATACCAACGGTTACTATGGCAACGGTTAAATATTAATGAGTAAAATAAAAGAACTAGAAAAAAAGGAAAAGTTGCTAATAGAAAAGTCCAGATATAACGAGTTTTACAAAGATATATTACAACAAAGTGAAATCAGCTATTGGAAAAAAGATAGAATTAATAGTGAGTACAAAGAGGTATGGGCAAGAACGAGATGTGAAAATCTGTGGAGAAGCGGAAAAAAAGGGCAAAAGAATTGGGAATGCAGAATATGCAAGAAAGAGGAGGAGACACTGATGCATTTATTAAGCTGTTCAGAGATAATGGAAAAAATAAGTGAAAAAGGGCAACAAGCAAGATACAAGTGGATGGAAGAACTAGAGGGGGAATTAACAAGAGAAAGATTAGTGATAATTTTAAAAGGGGAAATAAATAGGGAGCTGTGTTAGAGAAATGGAAAAATTATTTAAGGAAATTGAGTAGTATTACAATATTGAATGTCAAAAAAAGGCTGTCATTGATATACAGGGATGAATACTAGAAATAAGTATAAAATAGTATTAATAGTATTGTAATGCGACTGTGATATGAAGGATGAGGTGGGTGAAAAGTTAAAAGAGAGTAAAAGCAGTTGATTTTTAAGCCAAAAATAGTATATATGCAAATGTAAATAAATAATTTAAGATACAGTTTTGTAAAACGCAATATGTGATACAAATAAAAACGATATTCTATTCTATTCTATTAATGAGTAAAATTTGAAAAAATATTGATTAATTAAATTGTCGATAGTAAACATTTTGACAGAAGCGCGCGAAGCGCGTTTGATTTTCTAATTATGTAAATTAAAAAAAAAAAAAAGTTGTAACAATAAATGGATGTATAAAACCTTGAGCGTATTTTTTCAGCAATTTCTTCAGGAGACACAGGAACCATTTTTTCAGGATCTGGTGGTTGAATACATGGTGGTGGAGGAGCTACTGGCATCGTACCCATTTCTAAATGCACTCCTGTACCTGTTACATATTGATTATTTAGACCCATTGAATACTGTTGTTGCATGAGAGAATCCTGTTGAGCAGCTGCGATCTACAATTACAAAAATAAATAATTAACCAAAAAAAATAAAAATAAATAATTGTATATTAAAAAGAGATAGTGGTAAAATAATTAAATATTACTTGAGCGCCAGTAACTCCTTTACGTATTTGTTGAGCTTCCCACTCTTCTTCTTCATTACCATGCTCGCTCTCGTCGTCGGACACTGCAAGATTATGCATAGCATATTTTAAATTAAAATCAACATTACGATTGTAATTAAGAGACAAACGTTTTATGGGAACTTGTGATGCTAAAAATGCTTCTCTTCGCTTCTCTTTATCACGAGCTTCAATGTTAACTGTCATATCCATTCGCTCGTGCGACTCATCATCGTCACTACGATCATGATCTTCTTCGCGTATCAGCCTTGACTTTCCTTTTTCTTCACTAAAAATTATAATAGATTAAATTTAATAAAAAAAAATAAACAATAAGAATGTCAAATGATTGTAGGATTAAATACGTACGTTTGTACTTCTTCGACAGGTATAAAATCAGTTCCTAATTCTCTAGCTTTTTGTCGTTTTTTTCTAGCAGCGTGTATCATAGCAGCGTCAGGAATACATCCACCTAAAAATTATATATAATAAATATTTTTTTTTAATAAAATAGTTTACCAATTATTAAGTTGCTAGTACCACTAAAAATTAACCAAACTATTAGTACACAGAATACTTATTATGTAGCAATTAAATATTATAACGAACTCCCTACTGATATGAAAACTATAGATTGTAATAAAAATTGTTAAAAAAAATTTAAGTTACTGGATAAGAAACCTTTAACGGTTAATATGCTTAAAAAATGTATTGAAAAATGCGAGTATTTAATTGGATATTTCTTTTTCTGATAATTATTTATAATTTTGTATTTTTTTCTCTAGAAATTTATTACTTTTTTTTTTACTTATTATCTCCTTGCATTGTATTATCGACGAATCCCGGAAGAAATAGACCCGAAATAATTTTTAAGTTGTAAAAAAATTCATATTATTTCATTAAAATTAAGTATTATAAAATAAAAATTATAATAATAATAATAATAATGATATTTTTTTTGTAACAAAAAATGGAGGGATCATTTTGAGGGTGCTTGTTTTTCAGGAAAATTGTGGGTGTGATACAATTATTATTATTATTATTATTTTTATTTTATAATAATTTAAATGAAATAATATGAATTTTTCATAACTTTAAAATTTTTTCCAGGTTTATTTTTTCCGATTACCATTATCGCCATAAATTTTATAAAAAAATCTATGTATTATAAAACTGTTATTTTTTGTACTGGTTCTATACACAGGTGTTTTTACACCTAGATAAAATTCCTTACCAGATAAATAAATAAGTAAATAAATAAATAAATAATTGGAATTAGTAAAACAAAAAGAAAACCACCATGTTATTGTTAATATTGCGACGCTTAAATTCTCTATTGAGTCTTCATCAGACTCATAACTAGTACATGAAAGTAATCAAGCAAAAAATGTATGTGAAAAAATTGTTTTTCTGAGAACACATTCTCTTGTAATTAATTAAACAGATGTATAAAAATAATTGGTAACATCACAAACCAAAAATAAATCTCGTGAATAATAAAAAATAGCAAACAATAAAAACATGCGTTTCTACTAAGTATATGGTTTTGGATGCGATAAATAAATAAATATTGAGAATAAACTTACTTTCTAAAAATAATTTCATGGGGTCAGTTTTGGTAAAATTTTTTCTAAATTTGTGCGCCGCTGAATCATCTTCTTCATCCGAAGAATAATCGTCTTTTCCAGCCACTAGTGCAGCTCGTCCATTTAGAATTAGTGGTGCAGAATTTTTAATTTTAACCTAGATAAAAAAAAAGTCAATGTTAATAAAAATGAAAATAGTATTGATAATTAACATTAATAATAACAATAAAAACAGTCAAATAATAAAGTATCCCATTTGTTAAGGTACTTAAAATCTTCCTCACTCGTTATCAAAATAATAATAATAATAATAGTAACTATTGCATAAATAAATGGAAATCAGGTACTTAGACGTTAAAATTCAAGTGACATTAATATTAATAAAGACATCATAGAGATAGCTTACTACTAGATCATCTGTCTTTATTTCTAAATCATTGTCGCATTTAATAGACACGTTTGCTTGCTCAGAGTCCACTTGCATTTTCTCTTCACCTTTCTTTTTTCTCCTTTCGTGATCAAGTTGTTTCATCAGTTTTTTGCTCCTCGATGACTTCTTCACCTTAAAAACCTCCCCATCATCAGCTGTAGGAAAAAAATCAACGATAATAAAAAAAAAAAATCAAATTAATTAATATTAATAATTAATAATAAAAAAAGTCTAACCTTCATCGAGCTCCTCTCCGAAACTCAGGAGCGTTTGTTTGGGTTTTTCCTTCTTCTTGGGCTTAGATTTAACCACAGGTTGGACATCATCACACTCCATTCTGTTCTCATTGTCTTCATACTCTTCATTGAAAGATCGCCGACGAATATTTCTCTTCGGCTTATTAAATAACGACATTTTTAACCTTTATTCTTACTCTAAATTCGACGGTCTAGAGTACGGTACTTTCCTCAATTGATCTTTCACCACCATTAAAAAATTTTCCTCTATATCTGCATTATCTGTTTAAAGTAAACTTTAATAAAAGCTCTTAAATTAAATATTCATTCACTGTTATTATTATTGATGATATTGTTAATAAAATTCACTCGTTTATTTTTATTCCAGTTTCTAATACTATTATTGTGGAAAATCGTCACATCATTTGGTTTTCGTTCTTTTGTGACATTTTTTTTTTAAGCATCTCCTGCCATCTAGCGAATTATTAGAAAAGCGCCAAATTTAGCTGTAATATTGAAACAAAAAAACTTCTGATAATTTTTAGTAATTTTTTCAACAATAATTTAATTATGAAAAATATTTTTTTAATTATTCCAAAAGAAGAAATTAAAAAAAATATGTGAAAATTAATTTAGTAGATATTTAATAATTATTGTAACAAATAAATTATGGCAAAAAAAACTGACATGTAGAAATTATAAATAAAATTAAAAATGCAATTAGTTTTAATAATTTTTTGGAACAAATTTGTTTGTTAAAAAAAAATTTTTCAATTGTTAAGTCACTGCTAACTTTAATGTCATAAAAAATATCAATAATGTAAAATTGTTTACATACCTTAAAAAATTATGAACATTAATTTAAATTATATAATTTTAATGATTTTTTAGGACATCAAATTAAACTGTCACTTTACAATTTTTTAATTTTCTTTAACAAATAAATTTGTTCAAAAAATAAAAAAAAAAAAAATTGCATTTTTAATTCTTTAAAATTTTTACATGTCAAATTTATTTATAATTTTTTTTTTTGTCATTATTTGTTACAAAAATTCTTAAAACGATCAAATATCTGCTGAATTAATTTTCATTAATTTTTTTAATAAATAAATTACGAGAGGAAAAAATTTTACGAAAATTAAATTAGCCGACATTTGGAAATTATTATAATTTATTTTATTGAAAAATAAATTTTTAAAAATTAAAAAATAAATTTTCGAATGTATAAAATTTTTAAAATTAGATATATGTGGAATTTTTAAAAAACAGTATTTTAATTCTAATTTTCATGAATTTTTTGATAATTAAAAATAAAATTTTTTGGAACAAATTTGATGACACTGAAGTTAGCAGACGTCTAAAAATTTTTGATTTTTTTTATTAATTAAATTACAAATAAAAAAATACTATTTAAAAATAAATTACACTTATAGTTTTTCAAGTTTTTTACAAGGGAAATTTTTTTTTTAAATTGTTTAATTGAAACTTTTTCAATAAAAAATCTCTAAAAATTTTGAAGTGTCCGCTAACTTGATTTTCATACAAATTCTTTTGTTAAATAAATTTGTAAATGGTCAAATAATTGCTAACTTTAATTTTATAAAAAATAACAATTTTTTTATTATCCACAATTAAAACTAAATTATTTACTAATTAAAAATGTCAAATGTGACAGATGACAGTTAATAAAGTATAAACATAGTTATGTCAACTCTTAATTAATAAACAATAAACAAAAAATGTCATATTGTTTGTATTGCGAGCGCTAGAGGACCTAAGTGTTAATTTTTCTGTCAAGGACTCAAAGTTTTAGCGGGTAAATATGAAATATTAAAAAAAAAATATAAAATTTACAAAAAAATAACTGTATATTAATAATAAAAAATTAATTATTTTAAGTTAGATGTGGAATTTTTTCTGTCATTAAATAAATTGAGCTAACCCGTAAAAATTAATAAAGCTATAAACTTACTGTCAGTAAACACGTGGCTGTCAGCTGATGCGCGCGCTTACCACTTTCCATGACGTTAAGGCCATCAATTTCAAGCCATCAAATTCAGAAACTCACCAATACCTACTCAATCAAATATGCTATGTTGGTTCAACAACCAACAACCAGTTTATCAAACAAGCATCCGTACAAGTAGAGGCCGACCATCAACACATCAATAAAATTATACTGTATACATACCAAGTGTTTAATATCAAGTGATAGTGGTCAGAATTTAAAAAAATATTATCACAAGTCATTCCGTTCCAACGCGTGGTTATTGACGGTGCGATTCATTATTTATAATTATTTATCTATATATTTTTATTTTATAAAATCAAAGTATTTGTTATTTTGTAAATTGTTAAATTAATGAGCATGTAAGAATTTTTATTGATTTTATATTTTTACTTAAAAAAAGAAATTAAATAATTATTGAGTGATAATGCAAAAAACGAGTCATTCACCTTGCTACTCTTTTTTTTTTTTATAATAGATTAGCTGTGTAATCTTAATCAATAACATGTAATGCAATTCACATAGTTTTAATAAATATTTTATAATTTTAGAATTTAACTCTTGATTTTTTAATAATTTAAAAAACTAGAGTAGTTTCCATTATTTTACTCAATTATTTTAAAAAAAAAAGTAGGTAAATTAGAATGGGTTCCCAAGATTCGAAAAAACTTTCTCGATGGTATTTTGGTGGAGTCGCATCTTCTGGAGCTGCTTGCGTAACTCATCCTCTGGATTTATTAAAGGTATTTATTCAAAAAATAAAAATTTTATTTTAATAATCATGCTCTAAAAATTAGCTGACGTTCAGCAATTTTTTATTTTTTTCAACAATTAAATTACATACAAGTAAAAAATATTTTTAAGAAATTGCACGTGTAATTTTTCAAATCTTCTATAAGTAGAATTTTTTAAAAATTTTTTTAATAGAAGAAAATTATAATAATTTTCAGATGGCTCATTTAAATTTTATAAATTATGAAATAAATACTTAAGTAGTTAATTTTTGTAAGCAGCAAAATTAATTTATTTAACTAGGCTTTATTAATAGAAGTACTGGAATTAGTTATTTGCATGGTATTCAAATAAATTACGTAATATTTAACATAAAAATATATATGTATAGTCAAGGTAATATTTATTTTGTTTATTATTTATAATACTAAAGTTAGCCGATGTTTTTAATTTTTCGATTTTTTTTTAATAATTAAAAATTGTACTTAAAGTTTTTCAAGGTTTTTACAAATGAAAAAATTTTTTTTATTTTTTTGTAATAATTTTTTCAATAAAAAAAAAAATTCTAAAAATTTTTAGATGTCGACTAACTTAATTTTCATTCATTATTTAGGTGCAATTACAAACACAGCAGGAGGGAAAAATGTCGATAGTAAAGCACACGATGAATATTATTAAAAAACAGGGATTTTTTGCGTTATACAACGGCCTTAGTGCTTCTTTATTGCGTCAAGGTACATATTCAACAACAAGATTTGGAGTTTATGAGGTAATAAAAAAAAACACAAGCTTTAATAGTATTAGAATTAATGATACTAAAAATAGCCGACGTTCAACAATTTTTTTATTCTTTTACATCAATTAGATGAGTAAAAAAATACTTGAAAAAAATTTCACAAGTAATTTTTCAAATTTTTAACTTGTGAAATTTTTTCATTAAATTTTTTTGAAATAAAAAAAAAATTTCAAATGTCGGCTAATTTAATTTTCATTTAGAATTAGAATTAATTTCATCGTTAATGAAGAATATTATTAAATTAGAAAACTTATTCTAAAAATACATAATTAAATTTTTCATCGAGACAACGAAATATTATTTATAATCTCACGGTCGTGTCAATATAGGTTGCTAAGCAAACTCTTGAGAAGCCTGGTGAACCCCTACCGTTTTATCAAAAGCTTCTAATTGCTGGATCCGCGGGTGCTGTTGGTGGAGTTTTTGGTACACCTGGAGATCTTATTAATGTACGGATGCAGAATGACATTAAATTGCCACCGGGACAACGGCGAAAGTATGATTAAATTTTTTTTTATTTATTAAAAATTATGTTTAGAGTTAATAATTTATTTTTTACACAGTTACAAACATGCGTTGGATGGATTAATAAGAGTTTGCCGTGAGGAGGGTGTTGTTAAGTTATTTAATGGCTGTTCAACAGCTACTGGACGCGCTATTTTAATGACCATTGGACAACTAAGTTTTTACGACCAAATAAAACAGTATCTTTTAAATTCTGGTAAATTTAATGATAATTTGTTAACGCATTTCGCAGCAAGTTTATCAGCTGTAAGTATTTATTTTAGTATTTTACTCCAGAATATTTGAGAAAAAAAAATCAACTCTAGTTAAAAACTCACTTTCGTGGGATTAAGTAACTTAAGAAAGTTACAATGAATTACGAAATTTTATTTAAAAGTACTAAGAGTTGAATTTTTTTGGTAAATATTTACAAGTGGGGTCAACCATTTTCAATTTCATTTTTTTGAACGAAATTTCTATTTGATTTTATTGATATATTTTTTTTTGAAAAATACATAAAAAAATGAACGATTAAAAAAAAAAAAGTTGACTATCATAATTTTAACAAATTAAAGAAAAAAATTTATTACTTTTCAAAAAAAAAAATATATCAAAAAAAGATAGAACAGAAATTTTAGCCAAAAACATGAGAGCCAAAATTTTTTCCAACTTTTTAAGGTAAAAAAGCTATCAAAATCTTTATTTTTTGCTTTGACGACATTTTTTATCATAAATCCGCCTTAAAAACAAGCAGAATAGGGTGGACCCCACTTGTAAATAATTACCATTTTTTTTTTTTTCAAACATTTTTAAAAGATTAAATATAATTTTTAATAAATTATAGGGAGCGATTGCGACAACTCTTACACAGCCTTTAGATGTTCTTAAAACACGGGCTATGAATGCTAAGCCTGGAGAGTACAAGGTAAAATAATAAAAATAATTGATTTTTTTTTTTTTAGTATAAATTCAGTTTTTTTTTTTTTTTTTTTTTTTTTTTTTTAGTTTGTTCAATTTATTCTAATATTTATTATTTAAATAGAATTTGGGTCAATTGGTGTTGTATACCGCGAAAATGGGGCCAATGGGTTTCTTCAAGGTAAGAAAAAACTTTTATTTATTTACTTTATTTCATTTTTAATAATGTAACTGATCAATAATTGTAAATAATAAATGAAACTTTTCAAACAGGGGTACGTTCCAGCATTTGTACGTCTGGCACCACATACTATATTGACCTTCGTATTTCTCGAACAACTGAGGATTTACTTTGGTTATATACCGAATAAATCAAACTTTTAGATAAATTATTTATTAAAAAAAAAAAAAAACTAGGATAATTTAATATAAAGACTATTTTATCATAAATAACCGGTGAAATTAGAGTTAATTTTCTTCCAGGCTATTATATTATATGCATTCCCTTGAATAACTGCTTAAAAGAGTCTCCGATCCTATCAGATGAATGTGATATCCGATACAATTTATATATATATATATATCAATATACATTCCATATAAATATTTTTACAACGTATATATGCTGGCATATTACGACATTTAAAGTTTTTCGATGAATATTTACGCGCACAAATTTTATCCTGGCCAAGATTATTAATATTTTTTTATATAAATAAACAAACCTAATTATGTATAAGAGCTTTGAAGAATCACTATAAGTCTACCTGGCATTTATTTTTATTTTTTATTTTATTATTGACAATTGTACAATCAAGATAGCTAACTTTATATCTCGTTCCAGATGCCATTAGGGCGTATACTGGCAAAAAGTCCCAGTGAAAAGCTATAATAAAAATTCTATTTTTTTTTTCTAAGACCAAAAAAATTTTTAGTTTGGAAAAAATTTTTTTTTGCATTTCTGCACATTTTATGAAAAAATACGTCGGTTCCCAAAAAAAAATTTTTTTTCGAGAATTAACGTATTTTTGTATGAAACGTGCAGAAATGCAAAAAAAAAATTTTTCTCCAAACTAAAAATTTTTTTTTTGACAGAATAAAAAATAGAAAAAATAAAAAAAAATTTATTTTAAAAAATAATAATAATAATAAATAGAAAAAATAAAAAATATAATTTTTATTTTACACCCTTATGACATCTGTAACATGATATTTTCCAAATGTCAATGGAATAATTGTATATTTAATAACTTTTTTTTAAATATTTATTTACCGCATTTATAGGACATGTCTTTAGAAAATCATACGCTTTAAAATAATTAATGTGTTAGATAGTAATGTTTATTGATAATTTATTGTCAAATAATGTTGAATAGTTTATAACGAACTGTTATCGTTAGACAATATTGTAGATTAATATTTAATTTATTGTAAACTAATTACCATGCATTGTCTTTTTAAATAATATATAGAGATAAATATGTCATTTAAAAAAATATATTTGTCTAATTGAATAAAGAATTAAATAAAGAAATGTTTTGAAATTATAATGCGTATTTATTGATATTATTTTCTTTTGAATTAAAAAAAAAAAAAAAATCTATGATTCGATGTATTCTATATGTACATTATTAATGAATGCCGACTCACTTTAATAGTGTACGTATAATTGTAAATAATTATACAATATCTATTTCAATAGACCAATAAAAGAATAAATTACTAAACAAAAATATAATTTTACTTAGAAAAAAAAAAATATTGACTTTTAAAATCCGCATCTTTGTTTTTTTAAATAGAGTAGACATAATGCCATTGATTATTAATAATTACCATTTAAAGTACTTATATAACTATTACTGAGCGTCATATTTCATGACAATGATTAAAAAAAATCAAATGACTAAATATTAGATGCATGCGGTGACCCCAAAGTTTACGTACATGTTTTTTAAAAACACTTAAGATTGCTCTGGATCTGGCAAATTTAAAATTTTATCAACGAACCCTGCTACATCTGTATCTTTTTTAGAATGTTCCACGATGAAATCAAGCTCAAGTAATTGACTATAATTCGGACGGGCTGTGAAGTCTTTCATTAAGCTAAAAATAAACGATGATAATATCAGTAATAGATAAGTATTAATTGGTGTGATTAATTAATTAAGTAAGTAAGATATTTAATGGTCAGATACTAACCACTTGGTAATTAATTCTTCGAAAGGTTGAGAAAATTTTCCTGATGGCAATTTTGGTGGATCGTCTTTAACGACTTGTTTCAGTTGTTCGAAAGGTGTACCCCATGATTCGTATGGAAATCTTCCGGTAGCTAGTTCAACAAGAGAAATTCCTAATGACCAGACGTCTGATCTTATATCATAGTGAGATGGATTTCCCGATGGGTCTATCCTTTCTGGCTGAAAAAGTTAATTTTTTTATTTATTTAATTTCAATGTCAAGGCAAATAGCCGAATGGCAAAAGTATACATAAGTTTTATAATAAAGTACACGTGTATATAATATTGAATATAAAAGACAGACAGGATCTAGTTTAAGAAACTTTCTAATTAAAAATGATTTTAATAATCTACATTATTATGGGAATAAGCAAAATTTTGTAGCCAGTGTATTTATACGATAAAATGGGTTTTTATGGTTAAATTTGGTATTGTTGGAGTTGTGCCTTTTCATGGTTTCATATCATTCTCATCAATAGTCAATTTATGATGATAAGTATTTAGGCTGCATTAAAAAATGCTCTATCTCCAGATACATAATTAAGAAATTACCTTGTATCTCGTAAACTATTGACATTTTTAAAGATATGAGCTCATCCCGATGTTACACTCATCAAGACCTTTCATTTGAGTACCCACATCATTTTTCATTTAAGTACCCACATGCATTTTGATATATTTTTCATATATTTATATATATATAATATATATAAATATATGAAAAATATATCAAAATGCATGTGGGTACTTAAATGAAAGTTCTTAATGAGTGTAAGGTCGGGATGAGCTTATATTTTTAAAAATGTCAATAGTTAATATGAGCTCATCCCGATGTTACACTCATCAAGACCTTTCATTTGAGTACCCACATCATTTTTCATTTAAGTACCCACATGCATTTTGATATATTTTCATATATTTATATATATATAATATATATAAATATATGAAAAATATATCAAAATGCATGTGGGTACTTAAATGAAAGTTCTTAATGAGTGTAAGGTCGGGATGAGCTTATATTTTTAAAAATGTCAATAGTTAAGAAAGTACAGTGCAATTTAACATAATTAAGAAACGACCTTGTATCTTGAGAACTATTGACATTTTTAAAGATATAAGCTCATCCTGACGTTACACTCATCAAGACCTTTCATTTGAGTACCCACATCAATTTTTCATATATTTTATATATTTATATATATTATATATATGTATATATGAAAAATATATCAAAATGCATGTTGGTACTCAAATGAAAGCTCTTGATGAGTGTAACATCGGGATGAGCTTATATCTTCAAAATATATATTATATATATGTATACATGAAAAATATATCAAAAATGCTGGAGGTAAATTTAAATGCTTAAATGTTTAAATGGTTAAATGTTAAGTACAAGTTATGATAATTCAACAACGCAAATTTTAAGCGGCCTGATTGATATTTATGGTATAATATCTTGTTCCAGTTTCACAAAAAATTCAAAAGCATTAATTTTGAAGGAGTCTAAACTGAGTGATTTTATTATTATATTTTAGAATAAAAAATAAAATAAATAACATTAACAACTTACAGCCATGTATGGTTTGCATCCAGCGTCAATAGTTTTAGCCACTGAGTCTACAAGATAACCGGAAATACCAAAATCACAGATCTTGACTTCACCTTTTCGATTAATTAATATGTTACTAGGTTTTACATCTCTATGAATTACCCTGAGTTGCGAGTACAAATAATGAAGAGCACTAACTACCTAAAAAATTGAATTTTTAGTTAAATAAATAAGTAAAAAATAAAATTATTACGAATATAAATGAACTAACTGAAAGTGCTATTTTTCCTAAAATATCTTCAGGTATTGAGCATCCATTTTTGTATGCTTTAACATAAAATTTATCTAGACTCATGTCCATGACTTCCATACAAATCCAAACATCTCCTTCGCGAAACAATGCTCCGTAAAATTGTACAGTGTAAGGACAGTCTGAACTTCGCATTGAAATATCTAGATCCATTACAAGTCTTTTTTGTTCTTGATTGTTTACCGTGGCTGTTATTCTCTAAATTAAAAATTTTATTGTAAGTATTATTAAAATTTTAAGTATAATAATGAAATTTATAATACTAAAGTTAGCCGACATTTTTAATTTTTTGATTTTTTTTCAATAATTAAATTAGAACAACAAAAAAATATTTTTAAAAAATTGCACTTACTGTTTTTTAAGTTGTTTACAAATGAAATTTTTTTTTTTTAATTTTTTTGTAATGATTTTTTAAATAAAAAAAAATTCTAAAAATTTTTAAATGTCGGCTATTTTCATATGAAATTATGAAAATGAAGTTAACCGACATTTCAAAACTATTAGAAATTTTTTATTGAAAAAATTTCAATGAAACAATTTAAAAAAAAATTGCACATTTAAAAAACTTGAAAAACTATAAGTGCAATTTTTTAGAAATATCTTTTTAGTAGTAATTTAATTAATAAAAAAAATCAAAAATTTTTAGACGTCCGCTAACTTCAGTGTCAAATGAAATTTACTTATGAATTAACTGAGATGAATATTATCATACCTTTACAGCCATAATAGTACCACTTTGTTTGTGTTTAACTTTATCAACAATACCGTAAGCACCTCTACCAAGAATGCATATAGTCTCGAGATCATCAGCCTCAACTTCAAATGTTTTATCTTCTATTGTTATTGTCGTACGTTTATCAAGATTTCTCGGCGGTGTGCTGTAAAAATAATTATAATAAAATAAATTTCAGCAAAAAACAACTTCCCGCCAAATTTATAAAAACAAAATATTATAATAATTTATACTTACATATTTACAGGAGCTTCTTCAGAAACTTGGAGCTTTAAATTTCTTTTTCCTTTTCTCGCAGCCATGGTGAAAAAATTATAAAAAAATTCACTTTTAAAAAATAAATATATTATATCAGTTAACAGCCAACTGTCATGTTTGTTAAAACAATTACAGTCAAATGCAAAGCGACCTGGAACATAACAAGTACAAATAATCTTACAGAGATTATATTATTATTTGAACACAGCGTCGTTAGGTTATTCATTAATAAAAAGGATTTTCAGTATTTAAAAATAAATAAATAATTTGTTGTAATTAAAAAATAATTATTAATGATATTTTGATACATTAATTTATTAATTAAATAATAAAATTACCTTATTTGCTTGAAAATAAAATAATCGAAACCGTTGCCCATATATGAAGCTTTTGTGAAACTTAAATGACAATATGAAGTTAGTTTTGATAGAAATATCAAAAATATATACATATATATATAAATACATACATGTGTTTGTAAAATATATGTAAGTATGAGTTTGTGCACAAAAAAATAAAAGAAGTAACCATAATAATAATAATAATAGTAATATGGAAGTAATTAATTGTGGCTATATTCAAATAAGTAAACCAGCGACATGTGCGTTACATTAAAGTACTAAAAAAGAACATGACCCAAAAAAAAAAGTTTAATTTTTTTTTGTTCGTGTGTGGCAGATTTAGGATTTAGGTATATATATATAGTTAGAAAGAAAAAGAAAGAGCATGAGCATTTTCATACATAAAATTAATAAATTTGACAGATTCACTCCATTCCATTAAAGTTGTAATTAAATGCATTTATTTTTTAAATAATCTGTTCAATTATTTGCTGGTAGCTAAGTATTATGATACATTATTAATGTATCAATAACTAGGTATTTATTGGAGCACATGAATTATTTTTATTACTGTTTATGTGATTGTTAATATTTGATACACAAAAACTTTGATTGTGTTTATCGTATTCCTTATATAAAAATACTGGATTATTGTCAAGTACGCCATGCCGGTGACGCCCTTGCTAAGCTAAATTATTAGTCATCTTACAGAATATTTGTTACAAAAATCTGGTTTTTATTGTAATTAATAATTAACAACAATTGCTGCCTACTAAGTGTTTTCTGGATTTATTAAGATGGATAATCAAGGACGGAAAGTTATTGTTTGTGACAATGGAACTGGGGTAAGGTTATGCATGTTTGATTCCATCAATATTTTAAATTATTATGCGTATTTATTATTGATATTTGATGAAATTTAAGTTAGCAGTCACTTGAGCTTTTTTTAACAAATAAATTTTGTTGAAAAAATTTTTTTTTTTAAATTGCATTAATTTTTTTTTATTTTTAGATTTCTATTTTTTTTATGATGATTAATTTAGCAGATATTTAATAATTTTTTTAATTTTTTTTAACAAATAAATTATTGTAAAAAAAATTGACATGTAGAAATTTTAAAAAATTAAAAATGCAATTTTTGAAAAATAATTTTTTGGAACAAATTTTTTTGTTAAAAAATAATTAAAAAATTCTCTAGTGACTGCTAACTTCAATGTCATTTTTTTTAGCGGTCACTAGAGAATATTTTAATTTTTTTTTAACAAAAAAATTTATTCCAAAAAATTATTTTTCAAAAATTGCATTTTTAACTTTTTAAAATTTCTACATGTCAATTTTTTTTTGTCATAATTTATTAGTTACAAAAATTATTAAAAGTATTAAAAATCTGCTAAATTAATTTTCATTACTATTTAAAATTTCTTATCCGAGTAATTGTTAATAAATTTTATTAATCATTAAATTTTTTTAGTTTGTCAAGTGTGGATATGCAGGTGCTAATTTTCCTGCTCATATATTTCCATCGCTAGTAGGACGGCCAATCATTAGAGCAGTGAATAAAATTGGAGACATTGATGTTAAGGTGAGGATTAATTAAATTCATTTTTTTTTTTTTTTTTAATGAATCATTCTATTTATTTGTTTTTATTTTAATTTGCTGAAATTTTAAAAAACGAGACATTTTTGTAATCAAATTTAGGTGTACAAGATTGTCCGATTTAATGGCAAGATTTATTTAATTACGTACTTCTACATACATATATTTTTTTTTATTTACAAAATTAAATTGATTGTAATGAAATTATTATTATATATTTTCAGCAAGATCTTTGCGTTCGTGTAAGTCCATTTTTAGTACCCAGTAGTGTCCTTTGTGCTAGAGTTGTTTAAAAAAAAAAAAAAAAAAAAGCTAGAAAATAAAAATAATTATTAAAATTTTAAATAATAAGCGAGAAATTACTCAAGATTTCAAGAAAATAATAACTGGTTGGATTTACGGTTTTAACTAACTCTTTTTTCGAGTGAATAAAACAGTTGATTATTGTTTTAATAATAATAATAATAATAATAATAATAATAATAATAATAATAGTAATGTGGTGTAATTAATATACACCTTATTAACATTGACTAATACCTTGAATACAATATTGATCTGCTAAGTTTACAAATGCGTAACGCATCAACCAATTAGATATGTACAAACCTCATATATTTGTATAATTATTAATTTTATTTATAAAATGTTGTTTTATCTATTTTTATATTTAATATTAATTGTATTTATGTGCTTTTTACATTTGCCATCATAGGACGTGTATAACATGCCTGTAAGTTGAAGTGTATTATTTGTATTGACGTTATTGTCGTAGTAGATTTATTTATTTTTTTTTTTTTAAATTTATCGTATCAGATCGAATTAAAGTTTACTCAAGCATTGGATTTTTATTAATTTTATTTTTGTATTGCTAATTATTATGCTGCATTATTTTGTGTAATGTTTGACCGGAAAATGAAATGTGTGTCTTGATTTTATATGAGAATGCCAATGTGTTAGATAATGTTTTTGTATTGTTATTTAAAATTTTATTGTCTAAGTTTAATTATAATTTATTATTGCGACAGGATTTGATGGTCGGTGATGAAGCTAGTAAACTACGTTCATTGTTGGAAATTAGTTATCCTATGCAAAATGGAATTGTTAGGTATTATAAAAAAAAATTAATCAATACATTAGAAAAAAAAATACTTGAAAAAATTATTTTTATAAAAAACGTTTGATTAAATTTTATTAAAAACAATAATTATTAAGAAATTCAATTATGTGAATTTATAAGCTAAAAAAAATTTTTTCTAACTGTATTTTTTTTTCTCAGTGTATGCTATTATTAATCAACATTTTTTTGTATATTAAATTTGAATATATTATAATTGACTCCATTCAACTATTAACGAATTAAATATAGAAATTGGGAAGACATGTGCCATGTTTGGGATTACACATTCGGACCAGAAAAAATGAATATTGATCCACATGAATGCAAGATCATGTTAACTGAACCACCAATGAACCCGACAAAAAATCGAGAAAAAATGATTGAGGTAATATTTATATTAATTATATTTAATTGTAGAGTTTTATTTCTTCATATGATAATTAATTAAAAACTAGCAACCTTGCAATTACCATGTCACTGCCGTGACTTGTGAACTATAAATAAAATTTTACTTTATTAAATAATGAATTTTGTTAAATTGCGCTGTAATTTTTTAACTATTGACATTTTTAAAGATATAAGCTCATCCCGATGTTACACTCATTAAGAGCTTTCATTTGAGTACCCACATGCATTTTTGATATATTTTTCATACATACATATATATAATATATATAAATATATGAAAAATTGATGTGGGTACTCAAATGAAAGGTCTTGATAAATGCAATGTCAGGATGATTTTATATCTTTAAAAATGTCCATAGTTCTCAAGATACAAGGTCATTTCTTAAATATGTAATATATATAATATATATTATGAAGATATAAGCTCATCCCGATGTTACACTGATCAAGAGCTTTCATTTGAGTACCCACATGCATTTTGATATATTTTTCATATATACATATATATAATATATATAAATATATGAAAATTTGATGTGGGTACTCAAATGAAAGGTCTCGATGAGTGTAACATCGGGATGAGCTTATATCTTTAAAAATGTCAATAGTTCTCAAGATACAAGTTCATTTCTCAATTATGTATCCAAAATTTTTCTTATTTTCTTAATGATATAGATGATTATTTTTAGGTGATGTTTGAAAAATACGGATTCGCAGCAACATATATTGCTGTCCAAGCTGTACTAACACTTTATGCACAAGGATTGATAAGTGGAGTTGTAGTTGACTCTGGTGACGGTGTAACTCATATTTGTGCTGTTTATCACGAGTGTGCACCATGTCATTTAATTAAAAGACTGGATGTTGCTGGCCGGGACATAACAATGTATCTTATTAAGTTATTATTATTACGTGGTTATGCATTTAATCATTCAGCTGATTTTGAAACTGTCAGAATGATGAAAGAAAAGTTATGTTATATCGGATACAATATTGAGACAGAAGAAAAATTAGCTGTTGAAACTACTGTCCTCGTTGAATCTTACACTGTAAGTAATTATAATTAATATTATTAATCAATTACAATTGCAATAATAATTTTTTGGACTTAGTTACCCGACGGACGTGTGATAAAAGTAGGTGGTGAAAGATTCGCTGCACCTGAAGCGCTATTTCAACCGCATTTAATAAATGTTGAAGCACCTGGTATTGCTGAGCTAGTATTTAATACAATTCAATCAGCAGCTATTGATATAAGAAGTGAATTATATAAACACATAGTATTGAGTGGTGGAAGTACAATGTACCCAGGCTTACCATCTAGATTGGAGCGTGAGATTAAACAGCTTTATCTTCAACGAGTACTCAAAAATGATGCTTCAAAATTAGGGGTATGCTTTATTTTTATTATTTTATTATTCATACATAACACGGAAAAAAGTTAACTGTTATAAATAATAGTCGATTTATAATGCTAATTATGTTTTATTGTAGAAATTTAAAATAAAAATTGAAGACCCACCACGACGTAAAGATATGGTATTTATGGGTGGTGCTGTACTAGCAGAATTAACTAAAAATCGTGATTCATTTTGGATTACTAAAGAAGAGTACGAGGAAAGAGGATTAAAGGTCTTGGATAAATTAACGACTTATGATAAGTGAAAGTAAAAACCGGCTAATTATTTGATGAATAATAACAGATTAATAAACTTTAAAAAAATAATAATTAAAAGACTCTGTTAAATAAAAAAATAAGTAAAAGAAATACTTGATGTAAAATTGATAAATTGAATACTAACAGAGAAGACATTTATGAGGATAGATAAAACTTAATGTGTTGTGAATGCACTTTATGTAGATATAATTAATAATTATATGATATAAAAAACGAATTACGTATGTAAGATTATGAAAAAAAAAAAATTCCAATTAATTTTTTAAACGATTATTACTTATAATCGTGCCAATCTAAATACTAAGCTCAAATATTTTCAGTTACATTTACTTTTATTATTTTTTTTTTCTAATAAAATTGTTGTAATGATTTTTTACGTTTTTAATTATTATTAATTGTACTATAAATTTAAGTAAAAAAAATTAACCAAATAAATATAGTTTTTTTTATGGTTAACCATGCAAATGAAATAAATTAATGAAATTAATAAAATAAAAATTTATACAATTGATTAATTAATTAATTAATAAAAGAAAAAAATAGCAATTATCCTTTGCATAAATCTACAACAGTCTTTATTGAGTTTCATTCGTTTTATTTCTATACATTATTCGCTTTCCTTATTTTCTGTATAAATAAAAATAACAATATTTTTTTTTTTTTCATCATTGTTATACAGTTACGTACCATAAGCAGTGTAACAATGAATAAGTAAAATGTGTATGTGATATTAGAGTTTTCATTCGATTTCAATATTTTTATTACATATATATATTTAAAAACTCTAACTATGTTATATGACATCCAATTTTATTAAAAAAAGTTAAATCGGACATTAAAAATTTTTATAATCATAAATTAACAGTATGAATATTTAATATAATAACTTTAATCGTTTAATTAAATTTTTTATCAATCAATTAACGTATTCACATTAAATGATTTAAAAATACACCCATTAATTCATCATTTGAATTAATGATTAGACAAATATTATTAATTATTATTTTTATTTATTAGTACATAATTTGTACTTATGAAAAAATTTCACTGAGCTTGTAAACGAGACATCAGTGCAAATACAGTTAAAAGAGATTTTGTTGCAATATTTAAACATTTTTAAGAAAAAAAATTTTTGTTCATTATAAATTTTCTTTTGTTCCACTTTTACAATTTTATTTATTTATAATTAAAATTATAATTATTTAGTTAAAACAATATAGGTTTATCTTTACACTGTTCAATGCAGAAGCTTGTAAAGCGTTTTAAAAACTTTGGATACTCACGTTTGTAGACTGCGCGAAGCACAGAAGCTGGTGCCCAACCACCTGGATTTACTGTAAAATACATTTTTTAATAATCAGAGTTCAAAATATTTAAATTCCAATTAATTAATTAATTAAAGTAATTAAAAAGATACATACCCACAGAACAGTAAGTTATCTTACAAGTAATATCATCACGGCTTATTTTATTTGGATCTTTCGGTGGATCAACAAATGTTTGACATACAATGCAAACAGTTAGATAAACTCTTACACATTTATTTGAGTTTGGCTAGAAAATTTTAATTAAATAAAAATTAAAAAAGTTTGGAAAATCCAAAATTGCACGCCTCATAATCTCATTTTTCATGATAGAATTGATTTAAATAAAATGAAAATTAATTTAGCAGATATTTGATAATTTTAAGAATTTTTGTAACAAATAAATTATTACAAAAAAAAATTGATATGTAGAAAATTTTTAAAATTAAAAATGCAATTTTTTTAAAATAATTTTTTAAAACAAATGTGTTAGTTAAAAAAAATTTTTAAATTGTCAAGTGACTAAATTTTATGTCATTAAAATAAAATACAAAAAACAAAATAATAAAAAACAGAAAACTCTACTATGGTTTAGTGGCACCATAATTCTGAAGTGAAGAAAAAGATACTATAATAAAATGTACATATAGATATACAAATAAACAGTCGTATTATAGTTTTGTATAAATAATAATTAAACGACAGTGAATTGAACGTTCATATTAATCGAGAAAATCTTTAGCGTCTTACTTTAGATGATAAAAAAAAAATTATTCCGGTAGGATTATTTTTTCGAGCAATTTCCCTGTCACATACACGGATTCATAAACACAGACACACGGACGTCCAGGAAAGATTATTTTTAATATTATTATTTACTATGTTAAACAAGATAATTATTATTGAAATGTATTTTATGTGCCTGACAGATTATTTGTCTTGATATAATAATTAAAAAAAAATCAATATCAGTTTCGAGAAAACTGCTTTTTTGATAACCGGGCTCTATATCCTCGGACAAAATATCCTTAAGACAAAAAATCCACCGGATAAAATATGCATGGATAAAAAAAAAAATCCGTGGAAAAATATTCCTAAGTTCAATAATATTTTTAATTTAATAATAAATTTTTAATATTAAAAATGCTATTTTTTGCATAGAACCGCTTTTTTTGACATGTCGATAGTCGAGTTTATGAGGCGTGCAATAATAACAATGATCACCATTAATAGCTCTTAAAAAAATAACTTACTGGATACTGAGGATGTTCAGTGCTGTGATTACAAACAATCCATAAATCAGAAGCGTCAGGATCTTGATCATCAGGAACACTCCGAATGTGGGACCAAAATAAGGCATCACGTTGACTTGCCGGCCAAATACGTTTGTGCGTCTGAAGAAATACTAAAGTATCATTGGAAATAGTTTCGGCAATGGTCATATCCTCGAGAGTCGTCTCCCAACCGCTTCTGTACTCAGGGCTAAAAAATATTTGACACACTTCCCGTGCTGTTACACCTTTAACAACATGACACGCTTTCAGCGGGTCAACCACTAATCCATCAGCCTCTTCTTCTCGCCTATACATTCTCATGTCACCGTCTTCTGCAAACAATTGCCAACCACCTGCTCCACCAACACCCAAACGCGCGTAGTGCAGTTGTTGCATTGTTACTTTTTCGATCTAGAAAAAAAATAATTGCAACTATAAATACAAAGAAGAACTTAATACTTAAATACATTTAAATAAATTACAAACCTCCGGCCATAATTTATGATTAACTGCAGGAGTAACAGTTGAATCAACTGAAATCGAAACGGATTTTCGTTTCAAACGATCTCTCATTTGATTGTCTTCATCTATTTTATCTAATCCAGTTTCCACAGCATCGTAAAATTCTTCATCACACAAAGCACTGTGTGGACCTTCCTGAAAATTACAATAAAAAAATAAATTATTATTTTTTTTTTTTTTTCTTTTTTTGCACTACATTTTTATCTTTATCACGATATTAAATAATCAACTATTATCTATGATAACAAAAAAAATTATCAGCATGTATTTTAATGACATACTGAATGCTTGTGACTCGGCAACAAAAAACTATTTCTCAGTTTTATTTTTCCCATTATTGACAAAGAAAAATAAAATAATTAAAGTAATTAATATTAATGGTTTTGTTGAAATATTTTAAGACGATACTACTCCAGCGACAGTCCACTGATGTACTGAACAGAAATAATTTCTCGTCGTCGATTGAACACGTTGTAAATTGCGTAAGCTTAATATATGGAAACCGATGGTGGTGGTGGTTGTTTAAGTTGATATTGCATAAACCGTTTTGGAAATGACTCAATGACCGATTAGTGTACACACGAATAATATGGAATAAACATATGCGCTAAAAAAGTTTTACGTACGTATTTTATACTGGACTAGGCTAAAAATACAGTTTACCACAAATCAACAGAATAAATTTAGAAGGTAAATTCTAGATCCATTAGGATTTATTGGCAATAAAATCCTCAAAATATGCAAATTTATATATTGCTTAATTTAACAACCGTAAAGGTAAATATTTAGTAACAGTTATGTAATAAAACATTCTTAGAGAATCCACTGAATTATAAGGAGGAATACTAATTATTTCCTTCTTAATTGATATTTTATAATTTATAATAATTGCGTACTATACTTGACATAATTTTTTTACAATCTCAAGCCTTCTACCAAATAAAGATAACAATAAGTAATAATCAGTATAAGCAAAACAAGCTTGGAAATGAAAAAAAAAAAAAAAAAAAAAAACTCTAAAATCTCTAGACTTAGAATTGAATGTATTTATTCAAAGTCATGTTTAAATATGTTACTAATAATTATTTTCTAGAATTTCTTAAACTGTTCCGATATATTTCTAAATATTCTGAGAACTTCTATAATGTTTCATCATTCTAGAATATTTTAAAAAACTTTTAAACACACTGATAAAAAATTTAACTTGACTCGAGAACAAGAATCTTAAACCAAGAACGCTATTTTGAAGAAAATGAATTTCTTGAATGAGTAAAGAGGAAAAATTCTTGAGTCGAGAAAATTTTCTTGGTTTAAGGGAAGTCTATGTCAAATTTTCAAAAAATCAATTTTTTTTTTTTCAATAATCTGAAAATATAGTATGTTGAGCATGTACTGACGAGAGGAAAGAATAAAATCTCAAATATTGACGAAGTTATAGCTATTATAATGGAGCGGCCGGAGTGCGTATTGTAGTGTGTACTATAACTTTAAACGCGATTATCTCGAAACTGTATTTTTCAAAAAGTTATTGATCAATTTGTTTGAAATTTGGTGAGGCCTTTCTCTATATTACTACCGGAAGGACAAACCTAAAATTTCAGATATTTTGCGTTTATAAAATACTTTTTTGAGGTCAAAAATGTCAAAAAAATAGCCCCAAATTCTGACTTTTTTCACAGGATTATTTTATATTTAATTTTATACTTTTTTGTCATTTTAAAGGTTTATTCTTTCTGTTAATATGTTCTAAAAAGAAAACACTTTAATTTTTTTCTTTCAAATCAATGCTTAATGAGTGATGAATAGAGCAGTTTGAGCCAAGTTAAATTTTTTATTAGTGCAGGACTTGAAAAATCTCGACAATAATTAAAAGCAATATTTTTTCATTGACGTTTCAGGAGTTATCAAAATTATCAGCTAGATATTATGATAAAAATAATAATGATTAATGAAAAAATGCGTAAAATTTTTAAATTATCTTACTTCGTAATCAGGACCTCCATGTATCAAAACTCTAGGCCGAATAGAATCACCGCGATGAATATTAATCTGATCCTTGAGAGCTTTATAAAGTTCTTGCATTTTTTTCCTCCGTTCGTTTTCTTTTTCCCATCGACGACGCCAGACGTCTTCGCGTTGACCCATTAATTCGACACAGTGTTGTAATGTACTGAGTATACCTTCACTAGTAGCTTTAAATGTAATAGCTTCTCCTTTAAAATCAATTGACTGGAGTGCTGGGTCGAATCCAATATCATTTTTAATAAACTCATGAGAATTGACTCTCGGTTCTTGGGACACTGAGGATACCGGAGACGGCGATACATTACCAGCGCAATTGTCAAAATATTTTTGTAATGTATCTATTTGTTTACTTAATATATCCTTGAATGTCTCTAACTCGGCAAGTTTTTCTTTTAAATTTCGTAATCCACGTTTATTCAAACTGCCACCACTTGCTGTAGATTGTGTGTTTGATACCAGTGATACCGTACTGCCGTGCCGCTTTAAACTATTTTCACTGCTATACCCAGACTCAGCCTATAAATAATTTTACTGTTATTTTATATTGTATATTAACATTAAATATATAACAAAACATAAAATGAAAAATGAAGTGAGTCATCAGTGAATAATTTATGTGTCTTAAGATAAAAAATAAAATATGTTTCACACGATAAAGAAAAATAAATACATACTTTATACGATTTCAATACGTCAACCCAGCGTTGTTTTTCCTCTGGACAATTTGCTCTAAGATACCACACTAAACTTTCATTCACCGATACGTCGAATCGGCATTCGTCAAATTCATGAGCCTAAAAAAAATAAATAAATAATAATAACTAGCAACCTTGCAGTCACTATGTGACTGCCGTGACTTGGAAACTATAAATAAATAAAATTTTGCTTTATTAAATAATGACTTTTGTTAAATTGCACTGTATTTTCTTAACTATTGACCTTTTTAGAGATATAAACTCATCCCGATGTTATACTCATCAAGAGCTTTCATTTGAGTACCCACATGCATTTTGATATATTTTTCACATATACATATATATAAAAATATATAAAATATATGAAAAATTGATATGGGTACTCTAATGAAAGGTCTCAACGAGTGTAATGTCGGGATGAGCTTATATCTTTAAAAATATCAATAGTTCACAAGATACAAGGTCATTTCTTGATTATGTTAAATTGCGCTGTAATTTTTTAACTATTGACATTTTTAAAGATATAAGCTCATCCCGATGTTATACTCATCAAGAGCTTTCATTTGAGTACTCACATGCATTTTGATATATTTTTCATATATACATATATATAAATATATGAAAAATTGATGTGGGTACTCAAATGAAAGGTCTCGATGAGTACAACATCGGGATGAGCTTATATCTTTAAAATTGTCAATATTTATACAAGATAAAAGATCATTTCTTAATTATGTATCTAGAGAGAGCATTTTCGAATGCAGCCTAAATACTTATAATAAATTGACTATCAGTGAAAATGAAATGAAATTTTGAAAAGGCACAAATTAAAATCAAGACCTTTACAATGACACTAAAAAAAGCCGATTTTATCTTATGACTATCCTGGACAAAAAATTTTTCTTATTCTCTTAATAAAATAGATTACAGTTCATTTAGTTTATTAATATTATAATTTATTTTTAGAAATAAATCTTGAGTAATTCTTTAAAATGCTAATATTCAAAGTAATAAATATAGTGTATAAAAATATAAAATTAAATAGTGTATTTTGAATTATTTAAACAACAGCTGTTATGCAAATATAAGATCAACAATTGTGTTTACCTTAATATCAGCTTTGTAAAGGCTGATAGAGCCTCGACAACCAAAACCACTGTCTTGTTCGGATTTATAATAAGACAGTGTGCCGTCTTTGAGTACAATGAAACGTGTTTGCCATCCATGAATATAATTAGTCCATTTAGATAGTGTCCCTTGTAATTCTGGTACAATAACACCTTCTGATTCTTCTTCGTCTATCTCATCACCGCATCCACCTCCGCCAGTGTCTATCCCAGCTATTTCCATCATCTCTTCCTCGTTTACTAGCGGGTTTACATCAGCCATACCAGTAAATTGTTAGATATTTTTTTTATCAATAAATCCCGTGATTGTACAAAAGTTATTATTTCACAATTACTATTATAATTGTTCCAAAATTAGATCTCATGGACGCAATCAGTTGATTATATGTTGTTATTATTATTATTATTATTATTATTATAAATAAAATTTATTATTGTGATTCCCAAATGACAGATTCAAGCGCAAGAGAAAGTATTTAGCCGTTTTATAATCATATGAGATATTTTGGAAGAAAAGAGTATTTCATAATAATAAAACCTTGAAAGCTGACATAACCTTATGTGTATACCAATTATCAATATCAAGAATTACACCATCTTCAATATAACTGTTATTATTATTATTAATATTGTTATTATTACTTGTGAGTGTATAATCCAATGTCATATCAATTAAAATTTTTTAAACGTATAATTTTGTAAATAATTATAGTTTCAATAAAAAAAAAAGATCACAGTTTAAACTCCACGCATTTGTATATTTTTTATCCAATATATATATTTATATGTTTTTTTGCTATTTATATATATTATTAATATTAATCTTCTTTTATTTAAATACTCTTATCATTTGCAGTCACGAGATTATTTTTTTTTCCAAGTAAAAAACAAACAATAAATCCAACTAGATTTATACAAATTGAAAGTAAACGATTCACAATAAATCACAATTGTAGGAAATAAGTTCAATTTGCCATTAAAATTATTAAATTGAACTTTTCAAGTGTTAAATTTTTATATTTGTATTTATAGATGATTCATTAAATGTACTATTAGAATTACAATGCAGATTCGTTTGTTTTCCTAATCAAGCCATATATAACAATATATGCAAGTAAGTGTTTTCTAATAAGTATCTGTCTTTATGCTTAATGGCTTCATATTAATGTAGGTACGTATGAATACGTAAAAATATATGTATGTATAGTTGTGCCACCAAGAGAACAAACCTCGGGTTTGTTCGGATTCTCTCGCTCTGTCACGTAAAATTTTATAGCACGATTGAATAATTTTTTAACGTGTGAATATAGAGGCGCTGTAATGTTATTCCAAGCATAACCCGCCTTTTATGACAACTGTAAATATTCAAAAAAGTCATGGAATTAACAAGGTAGTTTGGTCGTGTCGCAATCCGAGGTCAAATTAATATGACACTGAAGTTGACAGATTAAAAATTTTTTTAGAATTTTATAGCAATTAAATTATTATCAAAAAAATTTAATTAAAAAATTCCACATGTGAAAATTAATTAAAATAACAAGTGAAAATTTTTAGAAGCATTTTTTTATCATTTATTTTTTAAAAAAAATTTTTAATTTGGCAACTGATCACTCGAAAAATAGCATAAAATATAAAATTATTTCTAATCAGAATTTAATTGAATAAATTCAATTCATAATTATGGTTAAATAATTATAATGATATAACTATTAAAATATCAACTGACAAATATTAAAAAAAATTTTGAATTAAATGACCAAACAAAAAATTATTTCTCGAGTCCGTCAAATTTTTTAATACGTCCATATCAAAAAATTTTTTTACAGAAATGGAACCCGTTTCTATTAAAATTTTGAATCTTATAATTTATAATTATTACTTGAATTTATAAATTCAGTTTCATACTCAAAAGTCCAACAATTAATCATCAAATTAAATTGAACGCCCCCCACAAAAATAAAAACAACTCTAATAAAAACACTTTTAACTTCAAAAGCTGTCATAAAAACAAAAACTCTACTTTTAAAGATGAATTTAATGACCTTCAACTTTAAATTCTTGGGAACGTTGACGTAGGACATCTCATTGATGATGCGCTTTTATAATTTTCCATTCTATTGCTAAAGTAAAGTAAAGGCTCTGCGTAATTTATTTATTTATTTAAAAAATACAGACGCCAATCGGCAATATACAACAATTCAACATATAAAATTATAAATTTTAATAAATATATATATATATATATACATAACTGGGATTTATTTTTGCTCAGAGAATCCAACAAAGCCGGAGCTCGTTGAGACTCAAAAAATTTTATTGAATTATAAATTTATTTTTTATTTCATTACTTAAAACATAAAACTGGTTTTAAAAATATATTTAAACATCTAATCTACACAGTGTCCAAATAACTCCACCATTCTTTTTCGTAGCCCTCGTTAACATGATCTACCAATGCCTTCCTACGTTGTTCGCAATAGGAAGTCTTATCTTGGATCTTTTGCTTGATCTCATTCAGATCTTCACTTTCAATATCCTCCTTCAAATAATTCGACAAAAGTTTCGTAGCCTTTTCTAAATCCTGCTGATTGTTTTCAAAAATGGTCTTTTGGTTGGTATTCTCCAGGTAGTACGCGAATGGATACGAGTACATCAGTATTTGCATGCACTGACATAGCACACTAAGCGCGTTCTTCAGGAACTGGCTCTCTGACCAGGACATTCTCATCACCTGGAACTTCTGAGCCTTCTTCTCGACAGCTTCATATAAATTGTTCATCATTTGAAGGGAGTACATATGACAATTGTACTTTTTAGAATGAAACAAGTATTTAGTTAACTGTAACTTGGTTGCGTCAAACTCCTCAGCTTCTTTATACTTCGGTTGCCTACTGCATTGGACAAAGTCGCTGTGTTGCTTCCATTTCTCGCTGCAGATTCAACAGAATTCGTGTTTACACTTCTTGCAGATCATGTGGCGACACCCACCATTTTTTTGAATCATCATAGAGCACATCGGACACTTCTTGATGTTCAAATTTATCTGGACCGAGGTCGCCGGGTCAGTCTCTAATTTCTTCAACCATTTTTCCAAATACTCACACAAAATGGGCGCATGCCACTTTTCGTTGCACGTGAAACAAAATGTCTGTTCGCAGTGACATGTCACGGGTTTACGATCAAGATACTCGACTTTTATCGCCCGGTTGCAATTTGGAGTTGGACACCATTTTAACAATCTGTTGAATTCAACATAACTTTGTGTGATTAAGTGTTGGTACCTGGCCTTTACTTTGGGATCCTTGATCATCGTCATCGCTGTGATGTCGTCAACTAAAATGTCGCAGTTGTGAGCCGGACATACAACAGTGAGGCACTCACCTTCATTCATAACCTTCACAGAGAGATATTCATTCCAGCAGTCGCCGCAAAACTGGTGCTCGCAGTCCAACCCGGTCATCAAGTCTTTAGAAAGTGGATTCATGCAGATGTCACAGTTCTCTATTATGGAACTCACAGATAATTTGTTGTTACAGTTATCGATTAACACAGGATCAATTATGCGAGCCTCTTTGAAGATGGTAGCTCTGTCTCCCGTGTAGAATTTTTCTAGGAGTTTGTCTTCATCCCATTTGAAATGATGCAATAAAATTCTCGCAACTGTGTTTGAGACCTTCAAGATAGTGTTTACGGAGGCTATTTTTTTTAAAATGTCAGTTAATATTTCCTCGTAGCTGAGAACTTCATAATCGTAATTGTCCTCTTGCGTTTCCTCGGAATTTATATCCTCTTCACTTTCATACTCGGCCAACTCACAATCCGATGAAAAGTCGTCGTTGGAATCCATATCTGTATGTAAAAAAATTCAACTCTCACTATTTTAAAACCGAATTTTTTCAGTAATTTTTTTTTTTTAATTAATTTTACAGTGTATATTATGAAATTTAGTTTTAGAATATTGTTTTTACTTATGATCTAAGGTTAGGCGACGATCAAAAATTTTTATATTTTTTTCAACAAATAAATTGGAAGTAAAAAAATACTTTAAAAAAATTACACGTATATTTTTTCAAATTTTCTACATGTGAAATTTTTTCTTTTAACCCTTTAATGTTCGGCCTTGAATCCCCACTCTTAATTCGAGTCATATGTCTTTTTCTTTAAGTGAGAGAACTATAGTCTTTTTCCTAGAGAGGGGGTTAGAAAAGTAGTAGAGAGGGACGCATGGACACACTAGTACAACTAAACCGTCTCTCAACAACCGCATAACGGACTATGATTGGCTCTCTCCCCTAACAGCTCACACTAAGATTCATAGCGCTTCCAGAACATGAAAGGGATAATTTTATTGTTACAATTTTTTCAATAAAAATAATTATAAAAATTTTCAGAATGTCGGCTAATTTAATTTTCATTTTTCACTTACCTGAATCGATACTGATATTTTGGATGGTTAGATTTTTTAAAATAGCAACACGTGTGCAAATGGTAATTTCACGTAACCGATCACCGATGCTAATAACCCAAGCGTCGCAAAAAAAAAATTGTTTACTTTTTGGATGATTTTATTTATAACAAGAAGTTAGAAATTTATAATTGTCAACTTAAATTTAACAAAAAAAAATTTGTGCCACTTGAGAAATATATAAATGTATAATAATACTAAAGGCAGCCGACGTTTCCAATTTTTTTATTTATTAAATTAGAACTAAAAAATATTTTTCAAAAATTGCACTTATAGATTTCGAAGTTTTTTACCAATGAAACTTTTTTTTTTATTTCTTTTTGTAACAATTTTTTCAATAAAAAATTTTGTAAATCTCGGCTAACTTAATTTTCATAAATATGTATATAGTAGCAATACTCGTAGTGATTATAAATTCACGTCCGTACACTTTACAAGGCGTTAGGAAATGATGGGTTTTTCTTATATATGGATGAAATGAGACTTCAACAGACTGTCATCAAAATTAGACATACTCATCTATCCCCACCAATATGCGTTTCAATTTTAATACTTCCGGGCGACAGAATTACAATAAGTAGAAAACTACAGTTAGTTTGTATACAATATACAATAAAACAAATTTTATTTAACCCTTCAGTACCCACGTTATTCAGCTCACCTTGTTTACTCTCGCCATGAGAAAAAAATCTCACATTTATTGAAATTATGTTATTAAATAACATACGATCTAAACAAATATGCCGGCGGGGCGCTTACCGAAAAGAGCCGATCTACGCCGTAGGGAGCCGAACAGCTCGATTTTTAACAACCTTTAACAGCTGATCCCATCTTTTTCTCGCGTCGCATTCACGGCGAAAAACGGTACTATCCTTGTTGCACTCGTGATGATAAAGCTAATTCCAGTTTTATGTTTTTCTCTTAAACAAATGAGAATTTCGAAAAAAAGGCTGTGACATAAAATAGATAATTAAGAAATTTATTACGTAGCAGAGCGTTTTGTTTAGAAGAGAAATGAAAAGCTGCAATCATAGGGACCGGCTCTTTTAATACTCTCGCCATCCCTGAATAAAAAAAAGTATTGAGACAAAGAAAAAAAAAGAATATAAAATTTTCGGAAAGTAAAAAAAAATTTCAAGTGGTCTTTCCATTTGAATTAAAAAAAATAATTAAGATTGAAACCGAGCGTGAGTAAAATTCTCATAACCTGGGTACTGAAGGGTTTATTATCATATTTTTATTTTTAGTATTTAATTATTGATGACTAACTTAAATGAATTTATATTCTTTCTATTATTTTATCTTTATAAAATAAAATCATTTTTTAGATTTTTATATTTGTAAGCATTGTGATGATATACATAATTAAAGATTTTGAATTAGCCACTCAACATGAATGTTTTCGTGGACACAAGCAAATTTATGAAACTGAAACAGATAGTCGAGTCTTATTTGTTATGTGATACCAGAAGGAATTGAAAACCGTAAATATTGTTTAAAATTAAAATTCAAAATCGATGGAAACAAATTAACAGTTAATATTTTTAATTAATGCTTTTACTTCATTCTTTGTTTTATTAAAAAAACCTAACGTTAGGAAACAAATTTCAAAAGGTCTTAAAGATTTAAATATACAGGTAAATACAGTGAAAGCTGTTAAAAGTTACCCAGGTTGTCTTTCTCGCTCTTGTTAGCGTTTTATGAGAAATTGAGACAGAACTACGGTAACTTTTAATAAACAGCTTTCACTGTAAATTTTTAGATTGCCAAACTTTCAATTTTTTTTTCAAAACTTGAAGCAATACCAACGCGATCTACTGCTGTATTTCTTAACTAATCAGTTTCAATTAACCATGTGCATTTTACATCGAATTATTATGAAAATTCATTTGTTATCACTGTTATTCGTCTCTAGCAATAAACATTGCCCCCTGATATTATTAGTGCTTCCAGTATTGAGGTCTTTAAAACCAAACTGTTTAATTATTTAATGGAGCAAGAGACTTAAACTAAGTTACTTATTGTCACTCTCGGTGTTATTATAAATAAAATTGTTATTATCTTTGACTGTATAACTACAAATATCATATAAACCCATCTACCCTAGTTAAATCATATAAAAAATTAAATTTAAATCATATTATAATTAATCATAAGCATTTTTATTGTTATATTCATTATATTCTAATTATTATATTATTGTATCCACTATTGCAAAAATATTTTGTATACCTTGCCATTTGGCAACAGCCTTGGCATTATTAAATAAATAAATAAATAAAATAAATTAGAATTAAAAAAATTGCACGTATAATTTTTAAAATTTTCTACATGTGAATATTTTTCTTTTCATTTTTTAAAAATTATTTTCCAATCCCATAATAAAATTGAGATGAAATGTATGTGAAACCAATTTATTCGTGTTGTGATTGGTCGAAAATAAATATTCTCATTCTGATTGGTTGAAATTGAACATACTATACATAAACGACACCGCTTGCGCGCGCAACGTATACTAGTAAAATAAATTATGTATAAAAATTTTTAAATGTCGGGGCTAATTTAATTTTCATGTGCTAATGCGGCACCGTGCGGCAATGAGTTGCACTGTGCTCCCGCGTAATATTCGAAAACTCTATATCTAACTGTCAATAAGGTAAACTATTATATTGTCGACAAGCGCCACCAGAGTAGTGGTCGTCGAACGTAATTAATCGAATACCCCAATTGTAATTGTGTATAATATAATATATTTTTTACGAATAATATTTTTATAAAATTACTGAAATAACTGTTTATAGTTAGTTGAAAAATACGTAATTCTTAACCTGTGTGATTTGTTTAACTGCATACCCAACAGGATATCATGTTTAATTGATAAAATAATAAAAATACCTAAAAAATCTATACCTATACATAGATATAGAGATAGTATATATACCTCAGTAAGTCAGTATAAATATATATATATATAGATATTTTTGGTTGCTGATTTGGACGCATTTGTGAAAATTGCTAATATGGCAGAAAATTGTCAACTCTGATATTATATTGTTTAAGTTTATGTGATTTATTATTTCTCATAATAATTAACAGTATTATAATTGTTAAGTGGTGAATTATAATGATTAAATAATCAACAATATATATATGATTGTGAAAACGTAAAAAAGTGTTTATTATTTAGTTGCGCGGTGAACAGTACCCGCGTAAAATTTATTCTTGTGTCGACACGTTTATTTCTTTGCTATTATATATATACATATATATTTAATGTGTATACATAGATCTACGTACACACGTAAAATCTAAATACATCTGTGTTGTTGAAGTCAACACAGAAAAAAACTTAACACAGTGATTTTAAATTTAATAAATTATATTGCAACACAACTTATATCATATGGTTTATTTATGATGAGTATGGTACTATTTTCGACACTCTAGATTGATAACAGGAATTAAATAAATAGGTAAAGACTCGATTTAGTAATAATAATAAATAAACGAGACTCTTGGTGTGTTTATTATTACTATTATCATCATTAATTACTACTACAGCTACCACTAAAGATTATTTATAAGTTAAAACAACAGCAATTACCTATGTGTATATACCTATAACCTTTGTTCGCAGTGTGATTGTCAGCGGTCCGAAGCGGGACGTCAGATTATTATTTTTTCTTAAATTAAAAAAAGCCCCGAGCGTTAATTGGACATCAACGTGGCATTTTTAATATTTTCATCTTATTTATTGTCTACGACCAGCTTTGTTTTTTCAATCCCAAACTCAAGAAAAGGTTATTATTATTTTTTTATTTTATGGTGGTCTGTTTGCACTGCAAACAAAGGTTCTAGGTTGGAATGCCAAGGAGTTGCATGGAACTAATAAATTGTTTTTATTTTATTCCATCGAGTTTTGTTAAGTGTTGCATGCAATCTTATCCGGGTATTAAATTATGTTTGTAAAAAATGTAAACATCGGGGTAATTAGAAGCTTTTTTTTTTTTTTAATTAGATTTTCACACTAGATACAGACTTGAATATGCTTAAAGACGTTTTTAATCGTGTTAATTATTCAGCTGTCTTTGGTCTGATAAAAAAAAAGTTAGCAAATCTGTTCAGTCACTTCTGTCAACAAAAATATTTATGTTTTAATTATATTGTTATTTTTTTTGTAATTATAATTATTACTATAAATGATTTATCTCAGAAGCTGAGGATAGAAATTTTATTGTAAACGTAAGATAGTTTTATATTTTATTATTATTTGTGCTTTTATATATTTTTATTTCATAATCTCGGATGTTTGGACTGGTTATGATGTTAAAATTATTATAAATTAAATATTTTTAATTTCCCGCTAAGAAAATTGAAAATTTTCAAAAATCGGGAAGTTATTGGGTTTTTTTTTTTTTTTTTTTTTTTTTTTTAACATATAGGTAGATATAATTTTAATTAGCAAAAATTTTCGAAAAAAAATTTATGCAAGAATTATCAAAAATTCTTTACATTTTTATTATTCATATAAATTGACTTCTAAAGTAATTCACACAAAGCTTATCTAAGAATCAAATAACATTTCTTAAACTTAAAATTAATTCTATAAATATTACATCATTTTTATTTAGAAATTTGACCATACTAACGTAAGCTCATAAATATTTACATGAAAAATACTATTTTATTTTAAAGTCTTACTTTCTATTGAATTAAATATAATTTTTAAAAAGTTCAAAATATTTAAAGTTAAAATTTTAAGGTGTTAGGTGGGTTTCAGAGGTTCAAAAAAAGGGTATTTTTACTATTTTTTTTTTTTTTTTTTT